GAGCCAATGTCTCTTCCAATCCTTGTCAACTCGAAGGGGGAATAACCAGCCTGTCACTCACTTGACCGAATCCTCACGTAACTCGACGTCGTCTGCAGCCATGAAGCGCTTGCCGTAGCCAGAGCTTCCTCGGACGTTGGGACATAGCACAGCATAACCCAGCTCATTCATGATGTACCAGTGGATCTTGCTGCGCGAGTCGGACGAGGTCTGGCCTGATTAGAAAACGTGGGTGAGCACCACGATCGTGAAAAAACACAGAACGAAAAAACCCACTGGCCGGACCGCCGTGTATAGAAATCACAACCGGGACCACTGTCTTGCTGTCCGTCGGATGGTAATACATACAAGGGATCTCTAACCCATCAAAGCTCTTGAATCGCATCAGCTTGCACGGAAACGTGCGAAATGGACGAGACTCGGGTGTCGCCTGCGCATATGGTGTCAAATGCATTGAAATGAACAAAGATCCGTCCGAATCTGTCTGGACTTTCTCCGGTATGAAGTCGTGAATATTAAAACGCGCAAGCGAAGCTGCTGTATGATGCGAGCCCAAAGAAACGACGACGGTGTCCGGGTCGGCCTCGGTCAGCGAAAGGTTGAATGATATCCCCTCAAGTTCTGGCTTGACTTGAATCACGGCATCCTTGTATGGGCCTTGGAGGGGGAGGAGAAAGGCAGCACTGAAGCCGTCTAGATTCGCTCTGAACTTGACGTATTTCGAGGTCACCTTGAGCGCCGAGCACGGCCAGCTGACCGGCCGCAGCGCACGAAGACTGGGCTCGGGCGTGGTGATGTGCATCACCGTCCTGGAGATCGTATCGTACCGCACGATCGACTGGAAGTCGCCGTATGCATTGGTGATCATGTATACTAGATGGGGCGTCCCCGGATCGCGAGAGAACTTTGGCGCGATGATCATCGTCTGGCTCTCGTCCTCGGTCGTATCGGGCAAGACGATGAGTTCCGGAGCGCTCAGGCCTGACACGTGTACCAGATAACACGGCGAGTAGAACGACGTCTGAGTTTTGGTGATAAGGAGAAACTGGTCGTCCAATGAGATGTCAGAGACTACCCAGCGGTCGGTTCCCTTTACTGCCGGTGGAGTGACGAGCTGGGAGACAAGATGAAACGGCTTGGAATCGGCAGCAGCACCAGTCTGGGAGTTCTGTAGGGCGGCAACATACACCAACGTGTCCTTGCCGTTTTCCTTGTTCGACGTGAATGCCATCAACCTGAGAAAATAGTCAGCGCTGTATCAGAGACATACCAGACTATAACACCACGCACTTATCGGAGTCCGAAACGACGACATTGCTGTACCGAAACGCGTCGTGAGTCAGGCGCTCGATGCGCCCGCCCGGTATGTTTTCGAGCTCTCCTTCAATGACAGGCAGCTGGACAGTCGAGTCGGCGTCCTCCCAGTATCTCCAGAGCTGGAAGTACTCGTTCCCATCCAGATCCATGGCGAGGATGTGCCCCCGTCCGCGCCAAACGCCCCGCCAATCGTCTCCCGAAACCGGGACGTAGCTCGAGATCCTGCGCCCGCTGTTCAGGTTGAAGTACGTGATCCGCTCGAGGGCTGTCTTCTCGGGATCCAACGACATCCGGTATAGTTCCTCCACTTGAGAGTCCTCTGGCCTGTGCCCGATGATCACAGAGCCGGGACCTCCAGTATCCTTGGGAGTCAACTTCTCGAAACATTCTAACGAGAATCCTGGTGATGATGTATTCCAGCATGTCCACGAGCGGCCACGGACCCCCGCACCCACCTCTCTGAGAGTCTTCGTACTTGCGCATATCGTCAAAGATTCGCTGGGGCACTGGCCCCATGTTGACCGCTTTGATATGCTCTGCGGGCTGTGTATAGTCCAGCATGTTATAGTCACTCACCGGATGAGCCATAGTGTGAGAAGGAGTTCGTAGACCACACGGCTGGTAGAGATCATGATGTCGTCTTTATCTAATCGATCTACAACTACGTTGCTTATCTGATCACTGCTTCAGAAGGGTATCGACCAGCATTCGCTGCTATTCGTCAACGTCCTCCTCGTCAGTCTCTTCGAACAGACCACCAGCACCGAAATTGTGCCACGACCTCCGATCTCGGCCAAAGTCTTCATCGAGCTGCAGAAATATCCAGTGAGGCTTCAAGCACAGGGTGCTCATTGAACACACCTGCCGCAAAAACCGGGAGAGACGTTCGACAAGACGATCAACGTCATCTTCGGAACGTTGATCCTCGCTGCACTCTCGCTCGACTTCGTCCTTGATGCGGGAGGAGAGGTAGTACATGTAATGCCGTGCAGCATGGCTGTAAGCGGCAACGTCGTGTCAAGGCAAGAAGCAGCCGCCGAAGAATGCACCCACTAGGCAACGATCCGCTCGGCACATCGCTTTCCGAGATAGATCCGGTGCTGGGGAGGGTAGAGAATCTTGGGCGCCAGCGCACTATTCTCCCAGTCGCCAGGCGTTTCCGTGGAATACTCGACGTTTTCCTCCAGAACGTCCTGACAATAGCGATGGTCAACACAAGGGTAGCAGTGCTGTTCGTCGCGGTGACGGCTCACTTGAAACACGCCCTTGCGCTCGTAAAACCCTTTGCAGGTAGCGACGTATTGGGTGCCCAAGCGATTGCATTCGTAGTCACCCCGGGTCCAGCAGGCTTGGCATTCTGCCTCTTCCGCATTGTAAGGGCCGACGAGAATCGGGCGCTCATCGATCGTGTAGAGGAAAGGCCGCGTCCACGTGGATTTCTGCATGGAATCGGCCACTGCCGTTGTGCAATCTTGGATCTTGGTCAGAGAGACTTGACAGTCGCGCTCTGAGCCGTCATGGAGACCGATTAGAATAGAGAGGTGCAGCAGGACGCACCTTGTTCGGGCGTGAGGGACGTTCCAGTCGGATGATGTAGCCTCGCCAGGTAAACGGCACACGCTTGGAAGTGCTTCCGGGTAGAGAACCGATTCACTCGACCAGGAGCAAGCACATCATCGACCTCTTTGATATCTCCTGTCTCTTCATCGGCATCGTCGATGAAGTCGGTTAGGTTCTCCGATCCAGATCTCGACGAGTGTCCAAATGCGCCTGTTTCTGTGTCTGAGTCATCGTCGGAGGCGCATTCAGAGGATGATAGTGTGTGGACCTCCGCAGGCGTTCTCGGGATACCCTGAGCCTTGTGCGATCTGGCAGTCCTGAGCGCCTCGCGAACGCTGGCTTTGTGCTCCTTATGGCTCGGCCGAGACGAGCACGGAGGGGGAGTGACTGTAAGTGTCAATGTTGGCCGTAAACTCGAGAGCATTCCGTCACTCACAATGCAAGTCATTCTGATCCTCTTCCACGGTGCCCATCGAGGTCTGACTAGCCCGACGAGTGATTCTGTGCGTATGAAACTCCTCCACAGGCCCCGTGTCATGCTCCGAATCCGACGAAGCGACTGGACACCGTCGGGTCTTTGTAGATGCGGGAGCCGGGGGATTCGACTCATCATCCGAGGACGCGCGTACATGCTCAAAATCAGAGAAAGAAGGGGACAGGACCCGTCGTACCCTCTTGCGAATGGGCGTCTTCGCACTAGGCGCATTCTCAAAGTCAGAGACGACGGGCGATCGGGGGAGCCGCGTTCGCGTAGACACGTAAGGTGTATCGGTCGAAAGCTGGACAAAGTCGGCGTCGTCGTCTAACACGATAGGCTCGGAGGCACTTCGTCCGGAAGCTCCCGACCCGGAAGACGTCGCCAGCACGTTCGTTCTGACCGTAGACTGACTCTGGCGGGTCGTGGTCGGCCGATTGCGCCTGCCGGATTGAGCCCGCAGCGTCCCTCGTGTCATTGGGCTGGAGAGGAGGATATCGGGACCTTCCCCGTCTTCTGACGCGAATCTTCCTGTTGTTTCGCTAGTGCGTTTGTCGATAATGAGATTGAGCACGGGGAGATCGTCATCTGGGTCATCAGAGTCCGACGTTGAAATACCCTGATCGGATGTGTTCCAGAGAGGAGAAGTTCGTTTGCGTTTAAGTGAAGGCATATGAGTTTCTAGGTAATGTTCTGCAAACAGGAGGTAGCAGTGCCATTTACTCGCTGAACTCCGAGATGTCTCTGTTTGGCTTACTGTGAGTGATGCCATCACGATACACTATCTTGAGATGCTTAACCCACTTCCAAGATCGGTAATTTGACACAGAGAAGGACAGGGAGTGTTTTTACATGAGCTACCAATATTCGCATACTCAGACCGATTTTTTTGACAGCACTTCAATTTGAACTTCCAAACTGTTGAAAAATATGGTATGTCCCAGATAGAAGTAATACTGCAAAATCAACACACATGAACGCCATGATCCAAAGGTCCATGTTGGGGGACAGTGACGACGACCGGGGTGTGATTCGACGGTCTTACGATGGTGCAAATTCGACAGGCTCCCGCGTTAAGCAAGGGATCCACGGTCGCCCTCGCCACCCCGCTCGAGTCCGCCGGTGCATCGATCGCGTTGAAGAAGGCGACTTTCCTGGGATCCGCAAAATTGTCAGCTAGCATGGCACATCAAACGACGCGCTGGACTGTTGAACAGAGAAAATCTATGGCCGAGTCGATCAAATGTGAAGACATGGGTTTCTAGAAACGATGAGCCATCCTGCACTGAAAAAAAATTGTCAAGCACAATAAATTGATCTATCTACTCAGAGTGCATTCTCGGCGGTCCTGGCGAATGTTGATTTCTTCTCTGCTACGCCCGCGCTGCCACCATGACCGACACTGGCGTCACGCGCTTCCCAATCTCCCACGCCTATTCAGACAACAGATTCGCGGTTGACTGTGACGGCCCAAGAGAGGCTGCGTGGGCCGTTGGAGACGGCGTGCTGCGTCGGGCTATAGAGAAAAGCTGGAAATCGGCTTCACGGCGGCCCGGGCTGTGGAGCAGCAAATCAGTGACGTCGATAAATGTTCATGCACATCTCTTCTGCTGCGAATGCCAATGACTTGGTCACCTGGTTCGTCATGCCGGCATTGCTTCAATGGGTTGGACGCCAGCACTTGTTTTCGGGATGCTTGAACTGATTTTGCAGTATCCACTCTCAGTCGACTGAGGCTGCGCATGGCGAAGATCAGATCAATTACGTGAGAGAAGCTCAACGTTCAACTGGGACCCACACAATTGCACAAAACGCGAGATTTCATCATGGCCGAAACAACCAAACACTTATCTGAACACTGATTTTCCAAGAAAGTACGTGATGTTACAATTGGCTAATATCTCCGGCGTGACGCAGATAGCTTCTCAGGTCGATTCCGGAATGATGAAGCAGGTCACCGCGCCGTCACGATTCACGGCAGACGACACTTGGCCTGAAACATCCAGCGAACCCGACGTCGGTCCGTTCCATTGGATGTTCACAGCCGCATTCCATCCTTTACCAACTGGCTGGCGCACAAGTCCGTTCCCAATGCTCCAGGCGGCTTCTCCCTGGCCGTCCCAGTGGAACGCGAACTGCTCGAAGGTGTAGGAGTGCGAGATCAGGAAGCGCGTCACGCCAGAGTTGTTTGTGTTGGTCGCGCCCACATGGTTCTGGATCTTCGCGTTGCTCACCTCAGTTACCACCGCCAACCCCCCATATAGACCCCGCGGGGGTACAGGGGGCAGCTGGCCATTTTGGGGCAGGGGGATGGGCGGGGGTCAGGACGGGGGTCAGGACGGGGGTGCCCATACATACCATGTGACTTGTCCATAAGAGCGGGCAGCTGGGCGGGAAAAAAAAAATCAATCACATGATGCACCAAATGGGCGGGATGGCGGGAAAATCACGTGATGAGCTGCAGGAAAAATTTCAAAATGGCGGGGGTTGGCAGGGGCATTGGCGGGGGCGCTACCGCCCCTCCCGCACACTGCAGTGGGCAGTGGGCGCATTATCACGTGACTTTTTGGGGGCCCCTTTTTGCACCATTTGGCATGATTTTGGAGGTGCTGCTTGATAGATTGCATGTTGTGGCAGACAGTGGGCGCAAAATCACGTGATTTTCCGCCAAAAAAAAAATGGAAGCCTCTCTAAATCATCCCAGTATAATTTCCATAGGTAAATACACTAATTGACCATGCATTTGAGCTTAGAAAACCCCAAATGCACCCTGCACAATAGGATTGTTGATGCGCTTGATCCCATCATCTGGCGGGGTCTGCCGCGGGGTCAGTCTGGCATATTCTATATTTGACCTCCTTTAGCCGTAGCAGTAGTGCTGCTGACCACCAGGGCAAGAATACAAACATTTATGAAATATCTTATCAAGGTAGACAAAGCCAATAGGGAAGGTGAAGATGTGTAACTGGATATTGCAATTGATGCAGGGCCCAGTGCGGGGTCTGGTGCGGGGTCTGGTGCGGGGTCTGGTGCGGGGTCTGATGCGGGGTCTGGTGGGGGAGCAGGGGCAGGGGTGGATTACACAAAATTTTGATGTATCTACTCTGGCTAGGCACCCATAGTGCTAGGATTTAGTCAAATCTATGGCTGTAGCCATAGGGCGTGGCGGTGCTGATGTGAACAACGATCATTATGATCGACAACCTGTGATTGTGATTGACACCCAACAGCTAGGCAGTGGTTTCAGTGAGGATTGAACGGCTGACCTTCTAAAAATGTAAGTTGAACCCATGCATTATCATACTGAGCTAAACTGCTGTTAAACATTTGGCAATTTCCCTCAACTTAGGGTAACCCGCAAGCGGCTTACCCTAAGTGGAGGGAAAGCTTTATCCTAGTACTGGTTATACCAACCCCTTATCACCCAATAAACATATTTCTTGCCCCAACCAACCCTAATAGAGCCTCTAACAGGATTTTTTTTTTGCTCCCTTGCCCCAACCCTAACTGACAATAAATATATTTCTTACCCTAACCAACCCTTACAGAGCCTGTAATAGGCTTTTTTTTTGCTACCTTGCCCCAGCCATAACTGAGAAAAAATGACGTCTCTGGGGACTAACCTTTAACCCAAACCCAAACCCTAGCCTGAACCACTAACCTCCGCGCCCAGAGGGGCGCGGCTTGTTGAAGACAGTAAGGCCGATCAACACTTTATGTTGAGGGATCATGGTGGTGCTGATGGCAATGATGATCTTGCACATGCCATGGTGATGCCGAGAAAAGCAACAGGACCAAAGGCCTGCCACGCTATGGCTGTAGCCATAGCAGTATTAGTCAAAGCTATGACTGTATCCATGCTATGGCTACAGCCATAGATTTGAATGCAATTTTTATGGCTACAGCCATAGATTTGACTAAATCCTAGCACTATGGGTGAGTGGTTCAGGCTAGGGTTTGGGTTTGGGTTAAAGGTTAGTCCCCAGAGACGTCATTTTTTCTCGGTTATGGCTGGGGCAAGGTAGCAAAAAGAAAGCCTATTACAGGCTCTGTAAGGGTTGGTTAGGGTAATAAATATATTTATTGTCAGTTAGGGTTGGGGCAAGGGAGCAAAAAAAAAATCCTGTTAGAGGCTCTATTAGGGTTGGTTGGGGCAAGAAATATGTTTATTGGGTGATAAGGGGTTGGGATAACCAGTACTAGGATAAAGCTTTCCCTCCACTTAGGGTAAGCCGCTTGCGGGTTACCCTAAGTTGAGGGAAATTGCAACTTGTTTAACAGCGGTTTAGCCCAATATGATAATGTGTTGGTTTAACATACATTTTTAGAAGGTCAGCCGTTCAATCCTCACTGAAACCAGTGACCACCGCCTAGCTGTTGGGTGTCAATCACAATCACAGGTTGTCAATCATAATGATCGTTGTTCACATCAGCACCGCCACGCCCTATGGCTACAGCCATAGATTTGAATGCAATTTCCATGGCTACAGCCAAACGGATTTGACTAAATCCTAGGGCTATGGCTCGGCTAGGGTTGTAGAATATCATGTAACTTTTCTCTATTTTGGCAGGGAATGGGGGATAAAGATACACAACATTGCCCGCATGTTTTGGCTGGGTCTCCAGGTCAAGTCATGTGATTTACCAATGTTTCGGTGGGGGGTAGGAGATTAATGGATGATGTTACCTATATAATCCATGGCATGTGAAGTCAAGCAGAACATGTGATTTTCTCATTTTTTGGCTGGCAGGATGGGTGGCATAGTAGATTGGCAGACCAGGGTCCACACTCCACTCATTGATTGTTTGCTTTACCCATTTAATATATATGTGTAGCACAGTGGTATCCATTTTTGGAGCTTGTAATAGAACATATTAGGTACACATCTCATCCCCCCCTTCCTGGCTGAATGCACTTGAGGTCTGAAACTTGTGTGTTCCCTTGCAAGCGATCTGCTTGGGTTTCCGCATGAATTCATTAAATAGAGTGGATTTGAGGTGAACTATATTCATTACTCGGTGTGATGTGAGAGGATGTATTTACTGGCAAGTTGTCCCACAATAGTCAGAGCTTGGTTATCAGTGCAAATTTGACATGTAAACTCTTAACAACTTGTGTCTTGGCTTGTATCTTTTGGAAGACCAACTGCAAACACATGGCTGATTGTTTTTACCAATGAGTCTCTACCCACCCCAGCCATGACCACCTGCCTGCACCCCCGCCTTCACCCCCGCCCCCCCGCCAGCACCCCCGCAACTACCCTGCCACTGATTGACCCCCGCCATCACCCCCGTCACACCGGTGCCTCAGCCCCTGCCATCTCCGAATATGTAATATTATGTAAAGTGACAGCCCGGAACACATCAAGTCAGTAGCCAATCAGGACCTGTATAAACGTCGTACCTAACTATGTTTTGCTCTTCTGAGACTGTTTTTACATATATGCTGCTAAAAACCATCGGAATTATGTCTCCTTATGCTGTTCTTGTTGAATATAATGCCACTTCATGTCCTCTGTCAGCCCGAAATTCGAAACATGGAAACAGCTCATAGTGACTCAATGTTCCTATATAGAGAACACTTCAACATGGTTCACTTTGCATATTGCGCAAAATATATTTTCTGCAAGGGCCCAACTTCACACAACCGAAGGATACACCCTTTGGCAATGCCTGAACAAAATCTGGGGAGTGCTGGACCCTGTAACGATTCAAAAATACGAAATAAATCCAAAGTATAGTGTGATTTATAATGTGGGATACGGGCCAGTTTAAAGAGATGTGAGCCTCTGGTCATCTTGAATATCGTTTCTAACAATGTTTCGGTCCCCTACCTCCTACCAGACAACCTCTGTTCTCACTGGAACGTGCAAAACCCACCCAAGCTTGTAAAATCAATTGTCGCCCAGAAACAAGAGCAGTCGAGTTCCTTTGTTGGAATTGGGTAGAGGTAACCATGAAGTTGCTTGGGCTGCAGTATAAAAGCATGGGAATGTGTTTCTATGTGTGTTCATCTGGTCGCTCCACATTTGATTGGCCAGCAGGGGCTGGCGCACCCCCGCAGTCAACCCCGCCCAATCCCCTGCAAGAATTGTATTCACAAGGTTTCTGCGCAATTCTTTGTCAGGGTTCTGTGTATTAGCACACTCATTACAGTGTCTCAATGTGATGTTCACAGGTTATATTCAATCTAGCAAATGATGCTTGTAACAGCTGTATCAAATATGCTATTAAAGAGAGTGAAACATTGGAGATGCAGTCATCCTTAAAAAGCGGGAGGACCACTTCAGCTGTTCGGAAGGGGAGCAGTAGCCATGACTATTCCTGCTGATCAATGCAGCTGTGACTGGACAACCCCCTTGGGGATTTGCTGAACACATGTAGTTGCGCATTTTTTAATATGTTAGCATCTTTTGAAGCCACAAACTCCACCAAAATGTACTGGCAAAACCATGCTTTAATCTCCTACCCCCCACCGAAACATTGGTAAATCACATGACTTGACCTGGAGACCCAGCCAAAACATGCGGGCAATGTTGTGTATCTTTATCCCCCATTCCCTGCCAAAATAGAGAAAAGTTACGTGATATTCTACAACCCTATGTGACAATCAACCCAAAAACAAAGTCGAAAAGAGAAGTGAATTTGAAGACTGGAGAATACAACCAAGTAGCTACAGTATTTATACCCAAATCCAGTCTGAGTCATATCTACAACTAATGAGTCATAGGGCTATGTACCACATGGAACGCTGGTCATGGGTTGTAGTAGAACCTTCCGGAGCATACGTCGCGCAGCCTTGAATCGATAGAGATAACCCCTGGAACCCCTAGCCCAGACCGTCTGATGCCGTGATCCGTGATAAGATAAGTCGTGCCAAGATAAGATAGGATCGTCGATGATAAGATGAAAAAGAGTCGAATTATGACATTACCCCCTCTCTAGGGTCGATGTCCTCATCGACTAGGCCAATGGGCGTGAAGACGTTTTCGTACGGATCGAAGAGTTGTCGCTGGGGGTATGGAAGGCGCTCGTCTTTGGGTTTGTAGCGATGGATGAGGTAATCCCAATGTCCGGCTTCGAGAGTTGGCAGGAGGCGAATGCGTGTGTCTGGGTTGGATTGTTTCCTCTGCCAATCTCTCAGGACCTTCTTCGCGTGGGTAAGGTGACGTGATGGTTCCCAGGTGTTCTCGCTATGCGGCCATCCCTTCCATTTGACCAAGTACTGTTTTCCTCGGCCGACGTTTCGCTCTTTCACGATCTCTTCGACTTCCCACTCCTCTGCTCCTCCGATCATCTTGGCTACAGGCCTCTTCTCTCGGCGATGGCGGGGTGGTTCGTGATAGGGTGTCAACAGTGACTCGTTGAACACTGGATGTCTTCGGTCCGTGTCCGGTAAATCCAGCTTCCATGCGGCCGCTCCAACCTTCTCCAATATCTCGTATGGCCCTAGTCTCTTGTCGCTCATCTTCTTTGATGGTCGATCCGTCTCGATATTTTCCCCTTCTATGTACACCTTCATCCCAACCTTCAACTCCGGAACTTCTTTTCTTTGTTTATCGTAGTATTTTTTCATTTTTTCTTTTGCTTTTTCTAGTGCTGTTTTTGCTTCGTCTTGTATTTCTTTCATTCTTTTTACAAATTCCTCCGCCGACTCGTTTCTCGACTCCATCCGTTGCTCCACTCCCTTCCATGGGTGATATCCGTGATTCGCATAGAATGGCGATATTTTGGTAGATGTGTTCATTTTATCGTTATATGCGAATTCTGCCATCCCTAGCCACTCCGACCAGTCCGTTTGATGGTAGTTGACATAGATGCGGAGATAATGCTCGATCTCCTGATTCATGCGTTCTGTCTGCCCATCCGTGATCGGGTGATATGCGGTCCCCGGATTCATTTCCACGCCCAACATCCGATTCGTCTCCCTCATGAAGCCCTTGATGTAACGCGAATCCCTGTCGGTGATGATCTTGCGAGGGATCCCGTGGTAGCGGAAGACTCGGTCCCTGGTTAGTCGTGCCACTCCTTCGCTGCTGATGTCAGTACTAATTGGTTCGACATGGATCATTTTGGTGAAGGTGTCACACCACACATGAATTGCGTCATACCCGTTACTGACCGGCAAGGGTCCGATCTGATCCATGGAGATGATTTCCCATGGTGCGTTTGGAACTGCATGCGGGTGCAAACTCCCTGTCCTGGCTCTTCTGGTCTTGGTCCGCTGGCACGCCTCGCACGTCTGGATGTATTTCCGAATTTGGTTTCCCATCCTTGGCCACCAGTAGTTCCTTTCCACCATCTCCTGCGTTCGGTTGATCCCAGCGTGTCCGACCAAAGGGGTGTCGTGGTGTAGTCCGATGATCTTGTCCCGCAACTCCTCGTCCCTTGGTACATAGAGCTTCCCATGATACGTGATGAGCCCTTCTTCCTTCTTCCACCCGACGAGTGACTTCTCTAAGGCCGCCTTGACGCTTCCATCAATTGATCAAATGGCCTTGATTTCATCGATTAGCTGCTGATCCTGTCCCTCGAATGTGACTTCTTGTGATCGGAAGAACTCGGGCTTCAGTAGCGTGACGTCCTTGTTGTCGTTCTTGCCCTGATCGTGATCTGCTCGTCGAGACAGGAGATCTGCCTTGCGGTTGAGTGCGCCGGGTCGGTGTCGTAAGGTGAAATCAAACTCCGCCAACTCCGTGATCCATCGTGCTTGCCGTCGATTGAGCTTCTGCGGCTTCCGGAAGTACTCAAGATTCTGATGATCAGTGAAGATCTCGAACGTCTCCGTGGCTCCCAGTAGTAGCTGTCTCCATTTGTCCAATGATAGCATGATTGCAAGCATTTCCTTGTCGTAGATCTCGTAATTTCGCTCGGTTTCGGTCAATGCGTGCAAAATAAATGCGATTGGGCGCCAAATGCCGTCTTGGTTTTGGCTCAAAACTGATCCTGTTGCCCCTTCCGAAGCATCGGCTTCCAGACGATATTGGCCAGTGTCATTTGGCAGTGCTAGGACCGCATCCTCCGCGATTCTCTTCTTCAATCCATCAAATGCCGCATGCTCATCTGCACCCCATGACCATCCTGCCTTCCCTGTCAGCCGTGTCAATGGCTTGGCAACCTCCGCGTATCCCCGGACAAAGCGCCAATAGAAGTTTGTGAACCCTAGAAACGCTTGGACTTGTTTGACGCTCTTTGGTTCCGGCCATTCCATCACGCCCTTGATCTTGACTGGGTCCATCCGCATCGAATTGTGTCCAATAATTACACCCAAATATTCGATTTCCGTGCGTTCGAACTCGCACTTTTCGGGCTTCAGGTATAGCTTGTGCTTCTGGAGTAATTCGAGCACTCGTTTCGTGATCCGCCGATGTTCGTCCAAGTTCTCTGTAAAGATCAGTATATCGTCCAGATAGACTACCACGTGTCCCTCGTTGATCAGTTCTCGGAGTATGTCGTTCATCATGTTTTGGAAGGTAGCCGGGGAGTTCGTGAGACCAAAGAACATGACCAAGGGCTCGTACAGTCCACGGTTCGTGCGGAACGCAGCCTTCCACTCGTCACCCTCTTTGATCCGTACGTTATTGTATCCCCATCGGATGTCGAGCTTGGTGAAGAACTTGGCGCCGCATAGATTATGGACCAGTTCGGAGATCAGCGGCAGCGGGTACCAATTTCGGATTGTCATCTCGTTCAGCTTCCGATAATCCTGGACGGGACGTAGTGAACCATCTTTCTTTTTGACGAAGAAGAATGCTGAGGCCATGGGTGATTTTGATGGTCTGATTTGTCCGCTGGCCAGGTTCTCTTGTAGGAACTCGTCGAGTTTGACCTGCTCGTTTCGTGATAGCGGGTACACCTTGCAGTCCACTGCTTTGGAACCGGGTTTGAGCTCAATCGCATGATCCCAGGTTCGTCGGTCCGGTAGCGAGTCGAATGATTCCTTGGCAAATACTTTGACGAATTCCCGATATTGATCCGGAATTTTCCCTTCGGTCATCCTCTCCTTCTCTTTTTCCGCTTCTTCTGCGAATTTCTGCGCCGGTGTTTCCTTCAGCCGTAGATCTACCTCCTTTCCAAAGTTGATCAGCAGGATCGATTCTCCCTCTTCCAGATCCGGTGCGCTCGTGTCCAGGTCGATTGCATCCATGTCAATCATCGCTTGGTGTTCCTCGTGACCCCTCATGTGACACCGTTCTGGGCATCGGCTGAATCTCATCGTTTGCTCCTGCCAATCCACCTCCGGGTTATGTTCCGTCAGCCAGTCAAGACCAATGAAGATCCGGGCCTTCCCCAAGCACGTCAGAAGGAACGTGCGTGTCTCCACGTGAGGACCGATTCTCATCCTTAGGTCAACGTAATGCGTGATCCGGCCGCTGATGTTTTCGGTGTTGTCGGCGTTACGAGCCACAATGGGTTGGGGAAGTTCTTGGATATCCAGCTTCTCTGCCCGCGCGTAGTCGGTATCGATGCAGCAGGTGCTACAGCCACTATCGAGTAGCGCCTTGACTCTGCGCGTCTTTCCTGAGTCCAGGCCTGTGATCTGGACATATACGTCCATCGAATGTCTCTTCCTTTCGGCCTGGTAGTTGCGCAATTCCTGCGCCAGTCTGCTGGGCTGGGGGCCCTTCTGTCTCTCGGCTGCCCATTTCCTTTGAACGGCATCCGGCACCCTTGTGCGTTTGGGTGCTTCTGGAATCCTGATTTCGGCAGATTCCTTGGGCGCTTCCTCCTTTTTCAAGGATTGAGCCTCCGGAGCGATGCTCCCCTTTTCGGTCTTTGTTGACGTGGTTCCTTCTCCACGAGCCATAAATACGTAGGAGTCCAAAATTAATTTATCCGCAGCTTCCTGATCCTTTTTACTTTGTAAATACTCTCTATTTAAAACTATTTTTCTTTGTCGTTCCTCTTCCATATCAGCAATGAGAAAATCATGAATATTGGTACGTAATGAGTCCGAGATTGTATATGTATGTGTAGAATCGTTCATGTCTTTAATCGAAACAAGTACAGAAAAACGTCCATAGTCCGGACGCTCCACCTCCTTGGCTAGAGGAGTGGAGCGCTTCAAAAACCCTTCTCACGCAGCTTCTCGGCGATCTCCTTCAGGAACTCGTTGTCCTTGTCCCCGTTCTCGATCTCTTCTAGCATTGTGGCCCGATTGAAGAACGTGCGCTTCTTCTTGGGCTCAGGGCAGTTCCGCGCAATGTGCCCAGGCTGCTGACAGTTGTAGCAGATGATATTGCGGCCACGGGCGTGGGTGCGATCGATCTCCATCGGAACCGGCTCATTGGCCGCTGGTCGGGCCGGAGCGGGTGCAGGTGCTGATGGTGCAGCCTGAGGGCGGAATTGGGGTGGGGGCCGCGGAGTTGAGTGCGCATAGGATGCCTTACGCAGCTGATCGCGCAAGGCATTGGCCTCGATGTTGACGCACCAGTTCTTGAAGGCACCATATGCCTTGGGCAGGGGGACGCCGGTGTTGTAGAGGCGGCTTGCAATTTCGCTGCTGAGTCCGCGCTCGAGGAACTCGATGAGGATGTTGTCCTGATCCCCCTTCTTGTACTCGCCCTTGTCATCGGTTGAGGCGACCACGTTGTACCCCGCGTCCGCAGCCAGCATTTCGAAGTCAGAGATGTAGTCCGCGAAGGACCGTCTGCCCTGGCGAAGGGCCATGAGTCGGGCGGCAGCGACTTGCTCTGCGTTAGAATCCCCAAAGGCCCTCTGAAGCTCCTCCAAGAAGCTTGTCGCGGTGACTCCCGCCTTTAGTCCTTGGAATCCCTCGAAATTGTGCTGCTTCCAGTTCATCGCCCATCTTGAGGCGGCGCAGCTTGTGCCGCTCTCATTGCGGAGGTAGGACAGGACGAAGAGGATTTTCGTCTCGTCCAGCGAGAACTCTGACCGATAGGCACCGATGTAAGTGGTGCACGCGTCCACAAAGCCCAGGTATTTGGACTTGTCGCCATCGAAGTAGGGGGGGTTGGCAGCGAGAGTGATGCGGTGATGTCCTGACATGGTAGGAGCAGGTGCGGTAGGTGGGGGCGAGGGTGGTTGTTCGGAGGGTAACTTGCCAAGGTCAGGGATCTCGTCTTCAGGCGGCGGGAGGGCGAGGTAGGGGTTGGAGGGTCCGGGTTCGTTTTGATGCGCCAGATCGGGCGACGATGGTATGATGGGGGGAGGGGATGGGCTCCCAGATGACGATGGGAATCGGTACGAAATGGTGGATTCGTGTGCTGTACAAGCACTCGAGGAAAGGTTCTTTTGCTAGCAAAAAGATCCCGGGCCTAGCTCTTCACGTGCCCGATGATCCCGAGGTGCGTTTTCCCGAAGGTCTCCGCAGCACTCCTTGTAGCTACCGTAAGGCTTGGGTCGGGCTCAACGTTACCCGTGGCCTGGTGCTGTTTGCTCGATATGAACCTTTCACTGCGATCGCAGCGAGCGACTAGATGATTCGGTAAAAGGGTGAGTAGGGTGGTAAGGGTGAAGAGGATATAGCGGGCGTAGCGGTGCACGGAGCAGGGTAGGAGGTAAGAGGTACGAGGGTATGAGGGGAGTCTTCGAATTATGTGACAATCAACCCAAAAACAAAGTCGAAAAGAGAAGTGAATTCGAAGACTGGAGAATACAACCAAGTAGCTACAGTATTTATACCCAAATCCAGTCTGAGTCATATCTACAACTAATGAGTCATAGGGCTATGTACCACATGGAACGCTGGTCATGGGTTGTAGTAGAACCTTCCGGAGCATACGTCGCGCAGCCTTGAATCGATAGAGATAACCCCTGGAACCCCTAGCCCGGACCGTCTGATGCCGTGATCCGTGATAAGATAAGTCGTGCCAAGATAAGATAGGATCGTCGATGATAAGATGAAAAAGAGTCGAATTATGACACCCTAGCCAGAGTAGATACATCAAACTTTTGTGTAATCCACCCCTGCCCCTGCTCCCCCACCAGACCCCGCATCAGACCCCGCACCAGACCCCGCACCAGACCCCGCACCAGACCCCGCACTGGGCCCTGCATCAATTGCAATATCCAGTTACACATCTTCACCTTCCCTATTGGCTTTGTCTACCTTGATAAGATATTTCATAAATGTTTGTATTCTTGCCCTGGTGGTCAGCAGCACTACTGCTACGGCTAAAGGAGGTCAAATATAGAATATGCCAGACTGACCCCGCGGCAGACCCCGCCAGATGATGGGATCAAGCGCATCAACAATCCTATTGTGCAGGGTGCATTTGGGGTTTTCTAAGCTCAAATGCATGGTCAATTAGTGTATTTACCTATGGAAATTATACTGGGATGATTTAGAGAGGCTTCCATTTTTTTTTTGGCGGAAAATCACGTGATTTTGCGCCCACTGTCTGCCACAACATGCAATCTATCAAGCAGCACCTCCAAAATCATGCCAAATGGTGCAAAAAGGGGCCCCCAAAAAGTCACGTGATAATGCGCCCACTGCCCGCTGCAGTGTGCGGGAGGGGCGGTAGCGCCCCCGCCAATGCCCCTGCCAACCCCCGCCATTTTGAAATTTTTCCTGCAGCTCATCACGTGATTTTCCCGCCATCCCGCCCATTTGGTGCATCATGTGATTGATTTTTTTTTTCCCGCCCAGCTGCCCGCTCTTATGGACAAGTCACATGGTATGTATGGGCACCCCCGTCCTGACCCCCGTCCTGACCCCCGCCCATCCCCCTGCCCCAAAATGGCCAGCTGCCCCCTGTACCCCCGCGGGGGGGGACCTCCTGGGTACCCATAGAGCTACGTCTAAGGGTACCCAGGAGGTCCCCCGCGGGGTCTATATGGGGGGTTGGCGGTGGTAACTGAGGTGGCGTTGCTCGAGTAGGAGAGCAGGTTCAGGTTTCCGGGCCCCCGCGTCACAACGATCACGGCGCCGCCCTGGCGGAATGCAGTAACCACCTCAGTTACCACCGCCATCACGCGGTTCTCCCCCCGCGGGGTACCTACTGGGTACCCTCAGACGTCTTGCTGAGGGTACCCAGTAGGTACCCCCTGGCGGGGGGTGGGGGGGCCATTTAGTCGATTTAGTAGCGGGGGCATATGCGGGGGTCAGGAGGAGGGGGGGTGTATGTAGCATGTGACTTGTCCATAAGAGCGGGTAGCTGGGCGGGAAAAAAAAATCCAATCACATGACGCGCTGCATGGGCGGGATGGCGGGATAAAAAAATCACGTGATGCGCTGCACCAAATATTACCAAAATGCTGGCAGGGGTTGGCGGCGTCATTGGCGGGGTCACTACCACCCCCCCGCACACCATGGCGGGCAGTGGGCGCATTATCACGTGACTTTTTGGGCGCCTTTTTTGCAGCATTTGGCATGATTTTGGAAATGCTGCTTGATACATTGCATGCTGTGGCAGACAATGGGCGCAAAATCACGTGATTTTCCGCCAAAAAAATGGAAGACTCCCCAAATCATCCCAGTATAATTTCCATAGGTAAATAGGCTAGTTAAACATGAACTTGAGCTTAGAAAAACCAAAATGCACCCTGCACAATGGGATTGGTGACACACTTGATCCCATCATTTGGCAGGGCCTGCCGCAGGGGCTGCCGCGGGGGTGCCGCGGGGGGTGCCGCGGGGGGTGCCGCAGGGGGTGCCGCGGGGGGTGCCGCAGGGGGTGCCGCGGGGGTGATGCGGGGGCTGCCCCAGGGTTGGTCTGTTATGATCCATTTTTGTTCATTGAAGATCTTGTAGAGGTGAGCAGGGCAACAGGCCAACTGGGAATTTATAGGAAGACATTGAAATTGATGCAGGGGTCAGATGCGGGGCCCACTGCAAGGTCTACTGCAGGGGCAGGGGTGCATTATATCAAATTTCGATGTATCTATTCTGGCCATGGCCATAGAATGTCACATAATTATCCTTCAATTTGGCAGGGGTTTCTTGGTATGGTCTGCAGCTAAAGATATTTGATTCCCTTGTGCTTTAGCAGAGCCTGGGATATTGAAAACATGCAATAGCACCTGTATAATCTGTCTATGTAGGGTCAAATACAAGTTATAACTTGGTACATTTGGGCATGGTCTGCTCAAGCTATTAGGTCGAATTTAATGTTTGAAAAATGCGCAACTTGATTTGTTTGGCAAATCCCCCAAGGGAGTTTTCCATGTGCAGCCAAATTGATCGCCAGGAATAGCTACTGCTCCTTGTCCCTGTCTGTTTGCTTCCAATAGTCTGTCTGCTCCCAAATCTTCCTCTCCATTTCCAGGATATCTGATACAGGTGTTAGGATTGTTGATTGATGGATTTCATATTCCTTGTCTACACACCAGTTAGACACTTTAATGGATGTGATAATACTGTGAACACTAACAATTGATTAGGCAGCACTTTTGTCCATCCAATCCTTGCAGGGGCTGGGGCAGGGTTGATGGTGGGGGCTGCCGCGGGGGCTGCTGCGGGGGGTGCCGCGGGGGGTGCCCAAGCCTCTGCCAGCCTACCCAATGTGGATCAACTACAGGATCACTTTCCAAAGCTTCTGTACTGCAACCCGAGTGACTTCCAGGTTACCTTTACCCAATTCCAGTGACACAACTTGCCTGCTCTTGTTTCTGGCCGACAATTGATTTTATAAGCTTGAGTGTGTATGTGCACTTTTTGGTGGGAAAGGAGGCCATTTGGTGAGGGGCAGGGCACCGAAACATTGTCAAATACCACATTAAACATGACCAGTGGCTTACATCTCTTCAAACTGGCCCCTATCTCATGTTTATCAAGACCCTATTTTTCGGACCCATTTCAAGTTTTTGAATGGTTCCAGGGTCCAGGGCTCTCAGAATTTGTTTCAGACACTGCCAAGGGGTATATCATTCAGCTGTATTGAGTTGTTCATTTGTAGAAAATATATTTTTTGCAATACCCAAAGTGAACTATGTTGAACCATTATCTATGTAGGAACCTTGAGCAACTGTGAACTGTTTTCATGTTTCGAATTTTGGATGGACAAACGATATGAAATACCTATATATTCAACAAGAACAGCATAGGGAGACCTTATTCCGATGGTTTTCAGCTGCATAACTGTAGAAACAGTGTCAGAAGAGCAGGAAACACTTAGGTACGACGTTTATACAGGTTCTGATTGGCTGGTGACTTGACGTGTTCCGAGCTGTCAGATTATGTAATCTTACATATGAGAAGATGGCAGGGGCAAGGCACCGGTGCAGCGGGGGGTGTGGCAGGGGGTGTCAGCCTGGCGGGGGTGCATGCGGGGGTGCAGTGGGGGGTGCCAGTTTGGCGGGGGGTGCCTGCAGGGGTGCCAGTGGGGGTGCAGGTAGAGTTGCAGGCAGTGAGTTATGGCAAGAACGTATACAGTCCCAGTAGCAAAAGCAATCATGTATGTTTCTGCAGTTTGTCTTGCAAGTATCCAAGCTCTAAGTGGAAAGAATTTTGTGTATGAAATCTGAATTCATGCTCAATCTCTGGCTATTGTGAGACAACTTATTAGTGAGTTAGTTCATCCTCTTATATACGACCCAGGAATGAATTGAGGGCATGTCAAATCCGCTATGTTCCATCTGTTCATGTTGCAGCTTGAGAAAATCATTTGCAAAGCATCACAGAACTTCTGATTTTCAATGAGTCCCAGTCAGGAAGTGAGACATTCAATGTGTACTTGACATGTGGTACAATGTGCCGCAGGGTAAGATTACACTGTGCTAACAGTGTGAACAATTGACTAATAGCCATGTATGTAGAATGAGCGCACCAAAAAATCAATGAGATGACAGTGGACCCAGTGCAGCCAACCTACCCACCCTGCCGGTCAACACATGAACAAATCATAACTTGTATTTGACCCTACATAAACAGATTATACAGGTGCTATTGCATGTTTTCAATATCCCAGGCTCTGCTAAAGCACAAGGGAATCAAATATCTTTAGCTGCAGACCATACCAAGAAACCCCTGCCAAATTGAAGGATAATTATGTGACATTCTATGGCCATGGCCAGAATAGATACATCGAAATTTGATATAATGCACCCCTGCCCCTGCAGTAGACCTTGCAGTGGGCCCCGCATCTGACCCCTGCATCAATTTCAATGTCTTCCTATAAATTCCCAGTTGGCCTGTTGCCCTGCTCACCTCTACAAGATCTTCAATGAACAAAAATGGATCATAACAGACCAACCCTGGGGCAGCCCCCACATCACCCCCCGCGGCACCCCCTGCGGCACCCCCCGCGGCACCCCCCGCGGCACCCCCGCGGCAGCCCCTGCGGCAGGCCCTGCCAAATGATGGGATCAAGTGTGTCACCAATCCCATTGTGCAGGGTGCATTTTGGTTTTTCTAAGCTCAAGTTCATGTTTAACTAGCCTATTTACCTATGGAAATTATACTGGGATGATTTGGGGAGTCTTCCATTTTTTTGGCGGAAAATCACGTGATTTTGCGCCCATTGTCTGCCACAGCATGCAATGTATCAAGCAGCATTTCCAAAATCATGCCAAATGCTGCAAAAAAGGCGCCCAAAAAGTCACGTGATAATGCGCCCACTGCCCGCCATGGTGTGCGGGGGGGTGGTAGTGACCCCGCCAATGACGCCGCCAACCCCTGCCAGCATTTTGGTAATATTTGGTGCAGCGCATCACGTGATTTTTTTATCCCGCCATCCCGCCCATGCAGCGCGTCATGTGATTGGATTTTTTTTTCCCGCCCAGCTACCCGCTCTTATGGACAAGTCACATGCTACATACACCCCCCCTCCTCCTGACCCCCGCATATGCCCCCGCTACTAAATCGACTAAATGGCCCCCCCACCCCCCGCCAGGGGGTACCTACTGGGTACCCTCAGCAAGACGTCTGAGGGTACCCAGTAGGTACCCCGCGGGGGGAGAACCGCGTGATGGCGGTGGTAACTGAGGTGGCAGTAACAGACATGGATGTATGCTGATCGAAGGTCAGATAATGCGAGCTAGGGGGATTTTCGAAAGCACTCACTGAGTAGTTGGTGTTTTTCTGACTGGCTTGAGATTACTCTGCTCAAGTCGACTCACATTTTATATCTTGTGCAAAAACCGCTCTGTGAACGCTGTCCCCGAAAACGCAATTTTTCATTCTCAGGTGTGTTCATTTCATTGGCCAAGCATTCCAGCTGTCGCATCCACTGGGGTGGCTCCGCATGCGAAAAACACACGCATCTTCCACCGCCGTGTTATCACCCTCTCTGAGAACACGTATTATTGCTTCATTGTCACCGGGCGCGTCAGATGGTCTCAGGGCTGGGGAACGCGCAGCGGGTTTCAAATCGATCGATCCAGATGGCACACCACAGACAAGAATGTTGAAAATACATCAATCCTATGAGACGATTCGCAGATAAATTCTTGCCGCATTCTGACTCGACTCGAAAGTGTCTACGCAAGTAAATATGAAACCTGTCCCCCTTTCCTCCCCGCAACCGCTAGGATGAGTTGCACATCAGAAGAAACCATTCCATGACCACTCCACCGGTCAAAAAAAGCCAATTTAAAGTCCACGGCATCACACAGAGTCTCGTTAAAGACGTTCTAGATGGCCTTGTTACTACAACCTCCCGGTCAAACACGAATCCAGTGACCGTGCTCCAATGAGATTCTTTCAAAGGATGTGCATGAGAAAAAGTATGGTGCCAGTAGTAATGATGGCGTAGAAGCCCTGCTTTGTTGCTTCTCCGGTCTATGCACGACAAACGTTCCCCGGATCTCGAGATTACAACAGTACGGATATTGAACAGCGTGTCACGTGACTTATTCAGTTCAATTTTACGCGCCTCTGATTTTGAGTTCAGCATGTTCATATGCAGATATGAGTCTAATTCTTTTCTTTGATACTCAGCTGAGTCTGAATTACTGGCTGAATGTGTGAATTCCCATGCAAGCGAACTTGAACAACAGTTCGCTTGCCGAGTTGGTGTACGACAGCCAAAGCTCACTCTACATCACGATTAAGCCCTCAGTCTCCTGTGCGGCGGAGTCTCTTAGATCTTTCAAGTACGATTTTGACGTATATCACAGATCAGCAGGGATATATTCGCTAACAATGGGTGTGAAAACAATGCTTGTCACGCAATATCCCTGAACGTTAGGCAAGCTTAACCGAGGCCTTTTGTTAACTATTATCATGTGGAGGGTCTGCCTATATCGTTACCACGGCCAACGTAATTCAATGCATATGCTGGCTCGAGTTGTGCAACTGCGCACCTTCAGAATCTTTGCAAAGTTCAGGAAAATAGGGACCTAAGATGTCATCACATCATAATGTTCACGCGTCCCCGAATTGACGGGGCCTACCAAATACTGACGTCTGCTGAGCCTATCAAAACTGTCGTAAGAGACCTAGCAACCTAACCAGTCGCAGTTGCATCAATCAGCGACACACTGGCGCAAGAAAACAGTCGAGAGAGCAGAGGACGACGGCGAAGGCTTAGAGGAAACTAATGAGAGGATCCGAACAATAGAGCGAGTTACTTGCTTACACACCGCATAAAGCGGCCCCGTAGTCGCGTAGATGTGTCATCAGCAAACTCTCCAGAACCAAAGACACAGTGAGCCCTAAATCAACAGCAATAATTCGAGTCTCCCCATCTCACCCTGACTCCAGAATGAGCTCTACGCAAGCATTCACAAAAGGCGCACCCGTCATGGTTGTGGCCCGTGGACCGGGAAAGATGCACCTCCTCTCGTACGGAAGCAATGGCAAAGTGCCGAACGTCGTCGGGAACATCACTGCCCCTACACACGGCGTGACCCGTTTCCTGATCTCCCATTTGTACACCTTCACCGGCTTCGCGTTCTTCTGGGACGGCGCCGGCGAGGCGGTGTGGTACATCGGCAACCAGCTCGCCCGGCAGCCCGTCGGGACCAGCTGGTCGAACGCGTCGTCCCAACCGTGGGGCGGAAAACCCGTCACTTCTGTCAACGTCAGTGGCGAAGTGAGCAAGGCTGTCTCTCGTAACAATCAGATTAACTGCTTCATCATTCCATCCATGGCCTGAGCATGGTGGTGACAGTTGTATTGCACGTAGCGTGTGGTGTATGTGAAAAACGAATCGCGTGCTGTTGAAGAAGATTTTAGCGTGAGATCCCCCCTGCAAATGCCTTTGAGGATTTGTCTCTTCCTGCTCGTCTGAATTCAGCATGCATGACAACGGGGGATGACAAGAACCTCCTGATGGCTGACGGCTCTCTCTAGATTCCGAGACCCCTCGTCAGATGTGATGAGCCGTGTTGACCCACCACGATCGTGGATCGTCACAGTCGCCGTGATAGCAGTCATACGAAATATTTTACGGTATTATTTGCTTCTGTGGATAATTCTCTCGACTTTCTTGGCCGTCTATGCAATGAACATCTTAATCCAACCATATATCACGTGATCTGGTTCGATTTCCAACCTGAACGTCTTCACCAGTCAATATATCTCTGCTAGGCAGAGTATTTCAATGTATCGATCTTTCTCCAATTCTAAATGTTCATAAGCCCCACTAGAATCAGTCAAGCTCCAAGCAGACGAACTATCCGTTCAGTTCGCTCGATGGATTGGTATTCGGCCAGTAAGTCCGCTATGCATTATGATTCGACTCTGGTGGGTTTTTTCTATGGCATAGCTGTGTCATTTGATGCATATCGCGACCCATTAGCACATGTCCGCTGGCGCTGGTGGTACGTCAACGAGCTAAGATGGAGCTTGTCAGTGTCAGACCATTGACTGCGACTTTGCTCGGTTGGGGCGTGAGTGAACTCCGCGCTGAGTCCCTGAGTATACCGTGAGCTCACACGAAATTTCCTGTCACCCTGGAATGCTGGGTGTCACGTCGAGGGTCTGCCGAAATGTCCTCATGACCGCCTTGTTTATTAAGTGTGTCGGTTCAAATTCTCATGTGTATTGCTTTTGCACGCGGTCCACTTATAAGCGCCGATACGCAACGCTGAAGATCTCTCGAGTTCTCTGATTCCATAGATATCCAGCCTCTCGAATGGCGCGGCCATTGCGAGGTGACTCCCAGGCTTGCGTCACATCAGGATGTACGACGTCCCCCCTCAAGTTACCGCATCTGACGGCTGCCGAGTCTATCGAGTTCGATCGTAAGGGACCGAACAACCAACTGGATCGTAGTTGCATCAATCAGTGGCACCCTGGCGCAAAGAGTTGAGGGAGCAGAGGACGACGGCGAATCTAAGAGGAAAGCTACTGAGACGATCCGAGGAATTGAGCGAATTACTGGGACGCAGGCGATATAAAAGGCTCCCAAAGCACTACGATTTTATCTTCAGCACACGCAGAAGAACCAAACAGAGCGAGTCCCAGATCATCCGCGAGAAGCCTCCCAATCTCACCCTGATTTCAGAATGAGCTCTACGCAAGCATTCATCCAGGGCGCGCCGGTCATCGTTGTGGCCCGCGGACCAGGCAAGATCCACCTCCTCTCCTACGGAAGCAATGGCAACATCCCGAACCACGCCGGCAGCATCACCGCTACTGCCACCAGCGAGGACGGCGTGACCCGTTTCCTGATCTCGCACTCCTACACCTTCACCGGCTTCGCGTTCTTCTGGGACGGCGCCGGCGAGGCCGTGTGGTACGTCGGCGACCAGCTCGCCCGTCAGCCCGTCGGGAACAGCTGGTCCCACGCGTCGTCCCAGCCGTGGGGCGGGAAAGCCGTCACTTCCGTCAACGTCAGCGGCGAGGCGAGCAAGGCCGTCTCCCGCGACAACCAGGTCACCTGCTTCATCATTCCATCGATGACCTGAGCATAGCGGTGATAGTTGTTGTGTTGTACATCGTATCCGAGAAACAGATCGTGTGTTGTCCAAGAAGATATTGGTGTAAGATCACCCATGCAAACGGCCCTTGACGAACTCCTTGCCTGCTCGTCTGAGAAGAGCCCGCCGTCCGATCCCGCGCATGTCAATGTAGACCAGCGCCAGATTCTTCGCGGTTCCCGCAGCGAGCACCGAGGTCTCTGCTGCCTGTGGCCCATATCTGCGTCTCGGAATCAGCAAACTAAGTTGTATCAAACGATTAGAGCGTACTGATGGCCGACCGCTCTCTCTAGATTCCTTGATCCTTCATCTAATATTCGGCGCGTGGAATGGTCGATGGTGGCCAGGATAAGGTCAAGTGAAAGAACTACGCGCGCCTTCTTCGATAGCTTTCCTTGATGCATTTGACTGGTGTCGGCTGCGGTTTTACGAGCCGGCAGTGGTGGGCCTGGACCCAGCCCTGGCGACGGCTGTCTGCGGGGTGGAAGAGGTGGCTTAGCGTCTGTCGTGGGACTTGGCGTCCGGCTATACGGGGGCGGCGGCGGGTCGAGATTCCGAGACGGCGATGGTGTCCTCGAGGGCAGCGGCGGAGCAAGCGAGCGGCCCTTACCCTTCGAGTTCCCCATCGCTTTCTTAATCATCTCGTCGATCAACTTCACAGTCTTCGAGCTCACTTTCACCGCCTGTCCGCTGACGGAGTGCACTGCGGCGAGGCCCTGTCTGGTTCTCGACGACGAGACGAAGGCAAGTGCATTGGATGATGCACCGGGAGCTGGAGCTGGAGCGGGCTTGGTATGATTGGTGTAGTAAGACGTGCCCGCTGAAAGGGCGCGAATGACAAGGGTGGTTGAGCCGGAGATAGCATGACTGCAGTCCTTTGAGAAGCCCGTATCCTTAGAAACAGAACGACGCACCTGATGAGTGTCGCACTGCTCGTAATCCAGTCTCGCTGGTCTGGCGGGATCGCTCGCGCAAAGATCTGAAGCGCATCCGCATCGCGCGCTGCAAGATCAGTCGACTCTTCTACCTCGATGATCACCGGATCCGAAGCTTTGGACTCGCTCTTCGTCAACATCGGATCCTCCTTGACCTCGAACTTCTGCTCGAATTCTCCCACGACCTCCCCGTTGTCCTGGTTCACGAGAACCAGGTGTCCCCTGAGATCCTTCATATCCTCCTTATCGTAGATGTTGGTCGGCAGCGGAACTTCCTCGGCAGCAGCTTGAAAAGGGGGACGCAGCACAGCGTACTGTCCCAAAACTCCTTCGAAGACTTCGATGTCCTCGAGGTAGTGTGAGTCGGGAATATCCGGCAGAGCGACGGTAAGGACGAGTTCGGACGGATCGGAGCTCGTAGGCAGGAATGTGTATGTGCGTGTTCCCGATTCTGAGAGATGCGTCTGCACATTCCGACCGGGTTCGATGGGGATTTCGGTATCTTTGATTCGTAGAATGAGGTATACGTGGTGGTCCGGGCGGTCGTCACCCATGAAAGCAGGCGAAGACGACGAAGAAGAAGAGGTGGCGGCGAATTGGACCGTGACACATTCTAGTGCAAGTGTACCGGTTTGGCTGTGCTTACCCTCGCTGAGCGTACAGTGGAAAAGGCTACAGAGCAAGAAAGCATCCTGGAGGGTGGTCATGGTGGATGGAGAATAGTGGAGTAGGTAGAGTCGTCGTCAGCTTTCATGTGCTTGGTGTGGGGATGGCTGTGTGGCGCGGCCACGCGTGAAAATGCTGTGCATTCTGCCATCAATCGCATAGCCTGAATTTGGTCGCTACTAGTCGTCCTCCGGCGGTAGCATTCCAGCACATTCTAGCTCCGGGAGATTCTATTTTCACTGCTTTCAACTGATTTCAGATGCCATAAGATACATCGGGTTTCAACATTCCGGTTTTCAGATGTGACGCTGCTCTCAGACCCTGCACGACGAGGAGCTGGCCATCTTGCCCCACTAGCACTTGGCCCACTGCTGGAACACAACGCCCACCACTTTCGTGGATCGAGATGTGCTTCGTCTTGTGTATCACAAGTTGACAATGCTCAATTGATGTTGTACGCGGAAAGGCGTTCGCTGAAAGACATGTCCACCGAACTGGTACGTAGTCTCGAAATCGCCGCTGCCGACGATCGGATGCTACACACGAACGGCATATGATTGAACATCTACGGGAAATCCGACAATGAATATAGACCATAACCTGACTGACCCCTTGCTGCGATGTGAAGACTGCATCTGGGTTTCGTTGCGACTAGCACCTTTCCTGAATTTGAATTCAAGTCTGGCTCACTGAGCCAATCGGATTGTTCAAGATGAACTGCCATCACATTTTGTCTTTCAAAGCAGGTCTTGGATCGCAAGAAGATCAATCCATCTAGTGTTTCGTTGCTTACTTATCGAAGCTACACATTTGAACGACATCAGCCCATTCATCCAAATGCGTGGTCATAGTTCTGCATTTCTCCCTCACATCTCGGTCCGCATCTTCTCCCAACACGAGACAGCTGGGCCACGGCTTTCCAGCTGCTCTACCTTCGCCTTTGACGACCTCGACAACAGCCGCCATAGCTTTCGCAGGGTCCCCGTCCTGCGTCCCATGTCGGTCTGCGTAGAATCGGACGCTAGTTTCTCTCGTCCCATCGTAAGCTGCCAGACGGGTACCGGAATCTGAGTTCGTCTCGAGGCGAATCATGTTTGTCCGAAACGCCCCGGGTTCTACCAGCAGAACTCGGATGTTGAATGGCGCGAGTTCCACCGAGAGCGTGTCGGCCAACGCGCGAACAGCGGCTTTCGAGCTTGCGTACGGCCCTATCATAAGCACATGAACGAACTTGGAGCTCAGTGAGGTCGACGTTCATACCAATTCCCTGGAGTTCAATGTGAGTATATATCCTTTAAAGAACGACAACTTGGACTGACGATGATATCTGTCTTCCAAGCCGATCGACTCCCAATAACAACGATAGTCCCTCCACCTAGACCACGGAAATGGGGGACACATGCGTTTGTAACATCCAGCAGACCGAAAACATTTGCTTCGAATTGCTTTCTGAGAAGTGCCGATCTGTGGGGACCGATAAGGCTCTGTCTTGGAAGGACGGAAGCACAGTTATCACCCTCCCTCCTCCAGTATGCCCGTGTGTAACGTGCCGGCGTTGTTCACAAGAACATCTATTCTTCCCCAGAATTCGACGGCTTGCTTGAATTTGGATCTATGGAAGTGCCATGAGTCTTGTGCCTGAAGACTGATGTAGCAGACAGACTTGAGGACGTCCATCCCTGCCGTCACATCCAACTCCATGATCCTCAGATCGCCACTGTTTCCATCTAGATCACGCACGCCATCTACGGTTCTGGATGTTGCTATCACGCGGTCCCCGCGTGCTAGAACCTGAGCCACCAAGGCGCGTCCGAAGCCAGACGAAGTGCCTGTTCAGTGTTGTTGGATTCGTGCACGGGGGCGGAGGAGAACCAGGACCCTACCTGTGATGAGCCAAACCAATGGCGTAGTCATGTTGCGCACACAGAGCAGCGATGATATCCGGCTTGCAGACGGTGGGAGAGCTAGTGAGAGGACCGATTTAGACACGCGCCCATCATTGTAGTTCCGTGGATGGTACGACCCAGTCACAGGTCCAGAATGGTAATCCCAGTCTTCTTTGGCCTTCTTAACAACGGACGACGAGAGCCGTGAGCAGAATCCTCATTTCAGTCAAAGAAGATCGAGAAGAGTCAAGCAAGGCGCTGGTTACGCATCAATCCTACACACAGCCACATATGTCACAGTTACCACTCGTCACTAGTGACGGACCGCACATCACCATCCATCCGCATACATGGCATACGTCGCAATCGACGGGGAAGATGTACGTGCGCAGTGTGCAAGGGTGCTTATGGAGAGTGTAACGCTAGACCTTATTACAGCGTTTTGAAGAAGGAAACGAAGGATTGCAGTTCAAATGTACGTGTACCATTGTGTGACCTGTGCGCGTGAGGTTTACGCGTGAATAGCTTTTCTGGGGAGTGGAGATGGCGAATCAAGGAGCGAGTCGAGAGCACCGGGTGTAGGCCGCGCGGACAGAGGTAAGTACCTCACTACTGTCCCTCATTTCCTTTCTCTGCTGAGACCACTGCCTGCACACAGGGTACCTCTCCGACAGCGGCAAATCAGGTCCAGCCTCTGTCTTCTCTGTCGAATATTATCAGTCCCACTTTGATGTCGACACGAATGTGGTCCTTTGGCGGTGCTACTCGACACTACTCCCAACGAGCACCGACTTCCTCTCCACACACCTCATACCAAATCCGGATCTGTACGGCCCGTTCTGGACGTCCACGACGCTCATTTTCACGCTTTTCCTCTCGAGCTCTCTTGCTGCGAGTGTCTCAGCATACTTGTCTGACCCCGATGTCTCGTGCGTCGTTGCGTTGATCATGCTTCGAGGCTAGCAACTGACCGGCAAGCACAGCTATGACTACGACTTTGGCTTGCTCAGTGTCGCGGTGCCGTTGATCTACTCATACGGGCTGGTGCTCCCCGCGATGCTGTGGGGTGCGCTGCGATGGCTGGGCGTGGGCGAGTGGGGTCTCGTTGAAGCCGTCGCGGTGTGGGGTTACGCGATGTTCGTGTGGATACCTGTTTCTGTGCGTGATCGCCGTTTTTCTACCCGCTGACCAACCGTGTTCCTGATGGAGCGCCGCTAAGATCCTCGCGGTCATTCCCGTGCCCCTCTTCCGCTGGATCTTAGTCGCACTAGCCTTTGGCTCCTCGGGATGGTTTCTTGCAAGGAACGTGTACCCTGTCCTCGCTTCGGTGCGTCATTTTTGATCCACCAACCGCATCTAGTCGCTTACGTCTTTGAAACCGCGGACAGGCGGAAGCGAAAGCCACGCGCCTTCTCATCATTGTGCTGGCTGTACTGCATGCTGGATTGGCGCTGTCGCTGAAGCTGCTGTTCTTCAGTTACTACGTCGTGCCGCCAAAAGGCCCGCTTGTGGAGCTGCCCGGAACGGTTCCTGAAGTCGGGACCAATCACACTTCTGCGCGTGCTTTTGGCTGGTAGAAGCGTTGTCGTAGGGTCTGTTTTGGGTCTGGGTCATCCATCCTCGAAGGCGCGATAAATGACAAGCCGCTGTTTCTCCGCATGTGTGATGTGATGTACCATATTTCCTGTCTCCTGTCAATCGACGCTTTCAGCCATCATGCGAAAGCGACAAGCCTCTCTTTCACCCACCATTCACCATGTCTCTGGAAAATCACCCATGTTTTCCTATGACCTTACCAGTCGAGACCAAGCTTTCGGGCCGGCCTTACGGGTAAGGATAAAGTGACAATTCTGGCTGAAATGCTTGAACGTGAGTACTGAAGATGCGAATAGAAGGCACCCCCTGGCTTCTGGGGACAATCTTGCGGAAATGGTGGGAAATTGAGCGGCAGGTGTGAAGGAAGGGTGATGGTGACGAGCGCCGCAAGGTGGTACTTATTAGCTCAGCCTCCTCTTCTCCTCTTCTCTCCTTCTTTCCCCCTACCTTTCCGTACGAATCTGCAACGACCAGAGACGATGCTCACGATAAGCACCCCCAAGCTGCTCACGAACGCGTACATCTTCAGCTATGACTTTGTGCTCACGCTGTACAATCTTGTTGCGCCGAACCTCAAGGTCGGCAGCGTCGTCCCGCACGGCGCCCCGGGAGCGGGTGGCGAGTGGCCCGAATACGTCGCGCCGGGGGAGGGCGACAGTCGGTGCGCGTGCCCGATGTTGAACGCTATGGCCAACCACGGTAAAATAGAATTTGTCGTTCGTTCGGTTGAGTTCTGAGATGAATCACACCAGGCATTCTGCCGCATGACGGGAAGAACATCAAGTTCACGACGATCACTGAGACTGTCCGGACCTCATTCAACTTCGCGCCGACGTTCTGTTTGTTCGTGCCACAGTTCATCGCTGGGTTGCTGAAACGTGACTACAAGACCGTGCGTTTTCCCTGCTTCATTCCTAGTATGCGGTTCTCATCTGTCTGTTCTAGGGAACATGTGATCTAGCAGATATCAGCTTGCACAACGGAATCGAGCACGACGCGTCTTTGACCCGTGCGTTATTTCCCTTTGGCCCAGTGGGTCCAGCTCATACGTCATAGGCCAGGACTACCACTTTGACAAGGACCAAGGCAAACCCTATCTGCCCTATATCACTGAGCTGCTCGACTCTGCGTCAGGCAAGGCGAAAGATGATTCAGTGCTGCTCACCGCTGACGATCTCGCGCGCTTCTCTGCCAAGCGTCGTGCTGATGCTCAGGCCGAAAACCCTGAGTTCAGCTTGGCTACGCAGCACAAGATGTTCGGCAGCTCCAAGTGAGTGGGCGGTCGTTGTCTAATCTAATCCAGTCTGATTCAATCCGATCTAATCTGATCTCTGCAGCTCCTCGACTATGCTCACGATCTTCGGCGGCCGGGTAGCTGACCTCGAATACTTCCTCAAGGAGGAACGCTTCCCGCCTGGCTGGGAGTCGCGCATCCTGAGCAAGAAGGGCCTGACGTTCTTGACGTTCAATCGCACGGTGTTCGGGGTTGAGCATGGCACGGGCAGCGAAGAGACTAAGTTGCTGGCGGAGCGGGCTCAGGCAAATTGAAGATGAATGATTCAGATAGGGAGCGCGGAAATGAGTAGTGTTCGGTCCCTAGGATTCTGTAGCAGTCGTGGAAAGGGGCAAGTACTGACTGATACTTGCGCACAGGGACAGTACATAAGCGATGATTGTTAGCGCCGTTGAACGATATCAAACTTCATGCGTAACATTCAAGATGTGAGATCAACGCCGTCTAGAACGATCCGAATCTGAAGACACAAGACCGGTGACATATCATCGATATTTCAGTCAGAACAAATCCCATCCGCTTGGCAAGCCTTCGACGACCCTCCAAGAATCCTCGTGCCCCAGCCATCTCCGAACTCGTGCATCGTCATCGTTCTCCGCTTTCTCGTCAAGCACAGAAACGTCACCGGTAGCCCACAACGAGAGCACGGCCCATCCGATCACCATAATCCCTGGAGGACGTTGCTCACCAGAACTTTCCAGCGCGCGAACGATGTGTTTGAGGGTAGACACGACCACTCGCTGGTCCGGCATTGAGGCCCGTTCAACGATGGCTATCGGCGTATTTCCCGGATACATTGGACCCAGTCTCCGTTCCGAAGATTTTTCGTCGCATAATGTGGCAATGACTTGCCCAAGCCGGGCCACGCCCATGAGGATGACGAGTGTCCGTGGGCGAAGATAGCCGGGCAACTGGGCTTCGGAGCCGCCTCGGCCGACTGCCGTGCAGAGGGCAAGGCTATCTGCCACGCCGCGCTGTGTCACAGGGATGCCCGCGAAAGTAGGGCCAGCGAGAGCAGAGCTGACGCCGGGGATAACGATAGACTCGTATCCTCGCTCCCGAAAGTAGAGAACCTCTTCCCCGGCACGTCCATAGACGACTGGGTCACCTTGTTTCAGCTAATAATCAACTTAGTCTTGAGCATTGCGATGGAGATTAGTGACATACCCGAACGACGGTCAAACCACGATTGGCGGCTTCGATTGCGGCCTCCATCATTTCACTTTGGGCACCCTCAGCATTTCCCGGAAACTTCTTCGCTATTCGCACTTCGACCGTGGATGGAATGAGAGCGAGTACGGCGGCAGGAACGAGCTTGTCTGACAAAACGACATCGGCTAACTTCGTCAAAGTGGTGTGTGTTGCCACCGTGAGCAATGAAGGATGCCCTGGGCCCGACCCAACCAGTAGTATTCGACCCTTCTTGGGTCTGTCCAGTGAATGCAGAGATGGACTCTGAATCGACAAAGTAGCGCTGGGGTGTTCTCCCGCCAAAACCTCACGCATGTCTTCCTCCGTCATGGCTCCCAGACGAGGAATTGGCCAATATTCGCTGACCTGGGCAACCCACTTCATCCTCCGCCTCGCGCTCTCCACTTCCGTCTCGATGGGGTTGCGCGTGGGCACAGGCTCGTTGGGCGTAGCTGCACCGCCATCGTCCGTGCAATCGATCCCGGCACCTCTCGCCAAAACCCGCATGGCACCGACCTGATCCACGGCAGCGCCAACCTCTTTAGGCAGTAGGCCGACGATCTCGCGTTTGATTCTGCTGGCGAGACGGCAACCCTGGCCGTTCGTCGTGACACCGATCTGCAGCGCAGACCGCACGGTGGACTCGGAGCCGGCGAATCGATGAGTGGATGTGAATGTAAAGTCGCACAGATTGGGCATGTCAGTGATGTTCACAGGGATACTGCGTTTCCTGCAAATCGAGTAAATGCGTTCGGCAGAGGAATTCGATCGGCGGCTGGGGTCGTTGAGCACTGTATCGGTAACGACGACAAGGCTGATGTTGGTCGACGCAGCTAGGAGACGGTCGAGGCTATCTTCCAAGTCGCTACCTGAGGAGCTGGACTGCGGGAGAGTGTCCCAGTCGAGGATGCTCAGCTGGTTTTCTTGCGCTCTCCATCGCAGCTCATCGCAGGCCGCCATGGCTCCGCCTTTGCATACGATGACAACGGAAGAGTCGGCCTCGAGAGCGGCAAATGCCCGAGTGGCGGCAATTGAACCAGACCCGATGATCAGAACGACGCGGTCTTGGAGGCGGAACGAGAGTAACAAGGATCCTCCGCCTTGCGGTGCAGGATAATTTCCAGGCGCATTCATCGTCGGTAGTCGGAGAGAGTCTCCTGCGAGGATGAAGGATGCAGAGATCCGGCTTTAAGAAGCATTTTCTTCGTTAAGTAAGGTCATTGATACGGTGCGAATGAGCATGCGATGAGCAATTTTCGTCCCGCCGGAACCGAGGCTGCCGCCCATCAATTGATGTTTTCTCACGTTCAAAAATTATCTCTTCCCCGCTGATGGCCCCTTCATCCACCGCGTACGGTGGCTCGTGGTCCTCACTACCCACGTCTCTGACCCCATGGATGTAATAGCCAGCTCTCAAGTATATGCTTTTGTCTTACTCCGAGCAGATTCGATGTCATTCAATCCATGGGACACACCCAGATGACGCCAGTTCAAGCGTCCACCATCCCGCTCTTTATGCAGCACAAGGATGTCGTAGTCGAGGCTGTCACAGGGTCCGGAAAGACCCTCGCATTCGTCATCCCAATTCTCGAGCGCCTCATCCGCCGCGAACGAAAGCTCCGGAAAAGTGAAGTCGGAGCGCTCATAATCAGTCCGACACGGTGCGTGCTTTCTCGGCCCTGATGTCGCGTCATTCATCCATCGCTTGAAGTGAGCTTGCAACCCAAATCCACTCTATATTCACGCTCTTCCTCTCCGCACAACCACGCCAGGAACCCGCGAACCCGGATGAAGACCCCCCGGAACCAGACTATCCGGATGCTCTGCTGCTCATCTCATCAGATACCTCCTCTCCTGCGCAAGACATCGAGCGCTTCACTGCTACGGGTGCTGAAATCGTCATCGGGACGCCTGGACGCGTCGAGGAGTTTCTGATGGGCAAGGGACGCACTGTGGTCAGCGTGAAGGAATTGGAGGTACTGGTTCTCGACGAAGCAGACCGGTGTGTTTTGACACTTCTGGTCCGATTCTCAGACATTGAGATAAACTTCAAGACTCCTTGATCTGGGTTTCCAGGCCGCTGTCACGAAAATCATAACCCATCTACCGAAACAACGGCGGACAGGCCTGTTCAGCGCGACTATGACCGATGCAGACGCTTTGTCTGAACTAGTGCGCGTTGGGCTGCGAAACCCGGCGCGTATCGTGGTCAAAGTGCAAGCGAAGAAGGTGCTCAAAGCCGGAGGGGTTGTGAGCAAGGAAACGATCGAAGAGAGACGCATACCGGCCAAGTGCGCACCCGAGGATTCTTGTTCGACGGTGAGACTGAATATTTTTCCAGTTTGAAGATCCACTACGTCGTTTGTCACGCATCGGAGAAGCTTCTCCAGCTCCTGCGAATCATCGCGGCTGAGATGACTGAGCACCAGTCGTCTCGCTTCATCGTGTACTTTGCCACCGGGGCTTGCGTCGACTACTTCTACCGCGTACGTGTCTCAGCTACTCTCATCTTCTTGCAATAATATGGGAAACAGATTCTTCAAGACCTGTTACCAGCCGACGCATCCCTTTTCTCGTTGCATGGCCATCTCCAACCTGCAGCGCGCACCAGGACGCTCAGCGCGTTCACGGATACACCCGCAACGCCTTTGGCACCTTCGATATTACTCGCGACCGACGTGGCCGCACGAGGATTGGATCTGCCGCACGTTGAGGTGATCATCCAATTTGACCCCCCTTCTGATCCCAAGGCGTTTTCTCACCGATGCGGACGGACTGCCCGCGCTGGGCGCAGTGGACGGGCTTGGGTACTCCTTGTCGGGCGAGAGATCGGATATGTTGGTCAGTGAGACATCCCAGGCTGGTGATCTTCGGCTGAGATCTGCTGCAGACTTCCTGGCTATTCGGAAGATCCCGATGACCGAGCACGCGTATCTTTCTGGTCCTGATGGTCGATCGCTGCTGTCGGATGTCGACGAAGAAGATGCTCGCCCAGATGACGAAGAGGTGCCTGTCACATTGTCGAGGATCCGAAAAGTAGTGTCGATGGACAGAGCGATCTACGACCAGGTGAGCTGTCTTGGCTGATTGGGAAGGTCTTGTGCTCAGTCATGTCAAGGCCGCAAAGGCATTCGTATCTTTCGTCCGCGCGTACTCCAAGCACGAGGCCTCTTACGTCTTTCGCGTGAAAAATCTCGATCTGGTCGGCGTAGCAAAAAGTTTCGGGTTGCTGCGATTGCCCCGCATGCCTGAGCTCAAGGATCTTTCACGGGACGGTTGGGAAGATGCAGATATTGACGTTTGTCTTCTCCTGCCAGTTCTCCATTGAAGTTCTCTGATCTTGCCTCTAGTGGAACACCTTTGCCTATCGAGACAAGGCGCAAGAGGCGAAGCGACTTGCCACCGCGACTGCTGCTGCAGAAGTCCTCGACTCACAGCGTGAGAAGCGACGCGTGGAGAGGACAGAGCAGAAGAAAGTGAATGCGGCGTGGAGCGACAAGGTCGTCAAGAAGGAGGAGCGAGAAAAGCGGAAAGAGAAGCGGGGCAAGAAACGCAAATGGCTTAAAGAGCAGGCAAACAAGGAGGAAGCGCTCAAGACCGTCGACGATGATGACGGCGAAGAGGACTGGGACGATCTTGCTCGCGAGGAGCGGATGGCGAAGAAAATGCGCAAAGGCCAAGTCACCACTAAAGCATTCGATGCGGAATTTGCAGATTTCGGCCCATAAGTTGAAGCAGGATGCATTGCTTGATTTGGCAGTACGCGAACGGTGTTCTTGCCTGCCACTTGATTCTCAGTGCAAGTCCGTGGCCTGCGGTATCTCCGGGGGTACATTAGCATTGTCCAACATGGGAATTCCCTACACTGATGTAATCAATCTAATCGATTTGATTGATGCATAAGTATACACTTGGACTTTCTCGTCATGTACGCTCGCCTTGACTATATCGTCTTTCCATCACCTTCCTCTGTCACCTGGGTATCGCCTGGAACTGATATGTACTAGATAGATGCAACACGCGGATCCGAACAGGCTTGCCTCATTACCTTCGCGCGGGATGGATGGTCTTCTAATCCGATTTACTCACTTGCTCTCTACAAACCACTACGATGTCCGTCGACGCCCATGCAGTCGCTCTCGCGTGGCTCAACACCCTCCAATCTGCGCTCGCGTCCGGCAGCGCGTCAGACACAGCTGCATGCATCCACCCCAAGGGCTACCTGCGCGACTTCCAGGTGTTCAGCTGGAACAACCGGTGTCTCCACGGCCACCCCAAGACCGCTGCGTTTCTCAGCGAATCTGCGACTGCATTGGACAGTCTGCGCAAGTTCGAGCTGGAGCAGAGGCCCGGTTTGATGGCGGAGTACGGCCGGATGTCGGACAAGGTGCCGATTTCTGCCGTGTCCGCTGCGTTCACTTTCAAGTGCGGGGGGCTTGGTCCTGGGAGAGGCCAGTGCTCGTTAGTGCTGAATGAGCTGGGCCAATGGAAGGCGCTGGTTCTTATGCTCGCGTTGACGGAGCTTGCTGGGCATGAGGAAGATGCCGCCATCCATCCCGAATGGCGCCAGACCTCTGAGACGAACCCGGATGTCCTCATCAGTAAGTTGGATGTTAAACCTGATCGATAAGCGAGTTGACGGTTTTAAGTCGGCGCGGGTCAGAATGGACTCAATGTCGCTGCTCGATTCAGACGAATGAAGATCCCTACGCTCTTGATTGAGACCAACGCGCGAGTGGGCGATAACTGGCGTAAACGATACCCCACCCTTGCACTCCATACTCCGAACAAAGGAAATTCAAGTACGTCCCTTGGTATGTTTGGCCACGATGGATGCTGAATTCAACCGCCGTAGTGCTTTACCAGGATTATCCCAGCGACTGGCCTGATTTCATCCCTCGTGACAGGCTGGCTGATTGGCTCGAGCAATACTCCCAGACCCAGGAACTCGCCATCTGGACGAGTTCACGTGTCCTCCCTCGTCCGACTTACGACCTCGATGCCAAACGCTGGAACGTTCTGGTAGATCGTAACGGACAAACAGTCCAGCTCGCTCCAGCCCACATCATTGTTGCTGCCGGTGCCCTCGGCGCTCCTCGAATGCCGTCAGTCCCAGGCCGTTTCTCGGGCACGGTGATCCATTCCTCGCAGTACCAGGGCGGGGCGGAATATGCTGGGAAGCGAGTCCTCGTGGTCGGAGCGGGCAACACCGCCGCCGACGTGTGCTACGACCTCGTTCAGCACGGCTCGCAATCCGTCACCATGCTCCAGCGGTCCGGATCGTGGGTGGTGTCGCGCGACACGGTCTGTAGGCTGCTGAAGCAGATCTATCCGCCGAATCTGGATCTGGCGGTGTCTGATTTCCTGGCCATGGGCCGGCCGAACCGGCTGACGCGCAAGTTCGAGATGTGTGCGGAGAAGCAGACGCTGAAGGACGAGGAAGAGACGCATCGAGGCTTGAAAGAGGCGGGCTTCAACCTGTGCAAGGGCAACAAAGGGTTCCTGATTCTTTGGTACGAAGCATATGGAGGTGTGTTCAGCAATGGGCGTTTACAGTCTTCGATCGCTGATGCAACCTGAACAGGATACTGTACGCACGATATGTCGTGCTTGATTCGACGTGCATTGAATCGCTTCTAGGGGTCGACATCGGCTGCGCAGACCTTATCAAGAAAGAACGTGTCAAGGTCAAGCAGGGCGTGCAGATATCTCGATTCCGCCGGGACTCCGTGGTCTTTACTGACGGGACCTCTCTGGAAGCGGACACTGTGGTTTTCGCGTGAGTAAGCAACGCAGCACATCTGCACATTTCCAACAACCTCGCTTCTAGGACATCTCACGAATCGATCACCCGCACCCTGCGACCGCTGTTCGGTGAGACCATTATGGACAAGGTTGGGCCTGTGTGGGGATTGGACGAAGAGGGCGAGGTCAGAGGATGTTATCGTCCTCTGAGTCAACCTGGTGTATGTCATCCGCTGTCTGTTCCGCGGAAAAATTCTCACACGACATCATCTACTTAGTTGTGGTTCGCCTGCGGAGAATTCGCGATGTCGCGGACACTGTCCAAGCCTCTGGTGAGCTATGCACTATCTTGATCTCTGGAGCCTCGAATTTGATTTTGCCCTCCAGGCACTGATGATCAAGGCCATGGAGCTGGGGTTAATGAAAGACACCTGCAAGTAAATCCTTAACTGGGTAAGATAAACAGTGATTATTCTACATCTAAGCCGATCTACATATTTCATCGCAATGTCACAAGCTCTGTGAGCCCAATCAGACCGTCTCCAGGATGTTAGGAAAGAAAACCACAAACCTTCAGCTGATGTCGGGTGGATAGCCACTGTGTCGTCCAAGTCTTGTTTGCGTGCTGCGAACCTATCAGCAATGTTCGACAGTGGGGTCTCAAATGAAAGACGCACCGCCCATCTTCACTGCTACGGCGAATCCTTGCATCATTTCGTCACTTCCGGCGCCGAGGATGTGCACTCCGACGACCTTCTCTTCGGGGCCAACGCAGACGAGCTTGAACATGGACGGCTCCTTGTGGTCTTCGTCGACCATCGCGAAGTACATTGAGCGGAAGGACGTCTTGTCTACCGGCGCCGTGAGCAGTGTACGTGGCACGCAGGAGATGCGTCTTACAGATTTTCACAGCATCATCGCCGAATTTCTTGCGGGCCTCGGGCTCAGTCATCCCCACAGTGCCCATGGTGGGATGCCTAAGACCAGGTCAGATCCGGATACAATACAGGTATGTGAGGCAGCTTACGAGAAGACAACAGTAGGGATGTTCTCGTAGCTCAGCTTGTCGTTCTTGAATTGTGCGGGCCCGAAGAGACGGTTTGCAAGACGGCGGCCGGCAGCGATGGCGACCGGAGTGAGCAGCGCCTTACCCTGGACGTCACCAATGGCGGTGATGCCCTTGATGTTTGTGTTCTGGTACTCGTCGACGACGATGTCACCCTTTGCGTCGAGCTTCACGCCGACTTTGTCGAGACCCATGTCCGCCGTGAGCGACTTGCGGCCGATAGCCCAGACGAGCGCATCCACCTTGAAGGTCTCGCCCTTGTCGGTGGTGATCGTCAGCTCCTGGCCCTTCTGCCCCTCAACCTTGACGATGTGGCTGGTCTTGTGCAGCTTGACGCCCGTGCGCTCGATCCACGGCGTGAGAGTCTCCTGCACCGCAGGGTCGAACGTCCGCAGAACCGTCTCGCCACGGATGAGCAGGTGGGTCTCCGACCCGAGGCCGTTGAACACACCCGCCAACTCGACAGCGATGTAGCCCGCGCCGACAACGGCCACGCGTTTGGGCTGCTCCTCGAGGGCGAAGAAGCCGTCGCTATTCATCCCCAGCGACGCACCCGGGATCTCAGCGTCGGGCGGGATGACCGGCGTGCCACCCGTCGCGATGCAGATGTTGTCGGTCTTGAGCACGTACTTGCCGCCATCCGGACGCGTGACCTCGACCTCCGTCGCGCTGGTGAGCCGCCCGAATCCGGTGTGGTGCTCGACGCCCTCGCGCTCGAAGTTGCTAGCGTAGATCCCGTTTAGGCGGTGCACGTAGGCGTCGCGCTGGGTCTTGAAGGCGGCCCAGTTGAATTTGGGGATCGGCGCATCGCCCTTGATTTGGTAGCCCTTAGCGTGGTACTCGACTTTCTCTTGCAGATCTGCGGCGTGCCACATGATCTGTGTATGGGCATGAGCGGCTTGGATTACTCGGGGGCGACATGCATCAGCAGACCTTCTTGGGGACACATCCTAGCGACAAGACGGTCAACTCCGGCCTGGGGCGACAGACAGTGACTGTGTGCTTACCGACGTTGACACATGTCCCGCCAAGCACCCCGCTCATTTCGACAACCGCCACTTTCTTTCCGTAAGATGCGGCGCGGCGCTGTTCTGCATGTGAACACATTGGGCGAGCATCGTTAGAAGACACGCACGCCACATCCAGATCCACCACTCCCACCGCCGATCAGTACCAAGTCATATTTCTCCACGGTCGGTTTGTCAAAGATGGGCGGCATCGAAGTTGATGAGAGAGCGCGAGAGATCTGCATAAAGAAAGTGGAGGGTGGATGAGTAAGACGCGACGCGTGTTGATTGGGGGAGACGCTGACGTGTGCGAGTCTTGAGATGGCGGATGGAAGAGAGATTTTGGTGGAGGAACGGAATGCGAAAGCCAGTTTGGTAAAGAAGGGGGCTCCCTGTTATCAGGGTTTGGTTTTGTAGGTGGTTCGGGGGATCGGATGTGAAATCTGAGTTGTAAGCGAAGCGCGGTCATCCGTGCTAAGTCACATGATCCCCGTGCCAAGCCCGGTTTCAATCCTGTCAACGATCCGGAGGTGAAACCAGGTTGGAAGGCGGCCGTCTTGCATTCGAGTGCCTTTGCTCATGCCTTCACGTCAAAGAAAGATACAGATGAATACACTCCATCAATCATCACGGTGCGCACAGCGAACGAGGACGATTCCAGCCTACAACTTGTAGCAAGCGAGATAGGCGTCCTTTCGCCTCCGGAATGTTCGACTTTCAATATCTCTATGGATGACTGTGACTCACGTACTTGGATTCACAATGCACTTTTTCCTCGAGAGCTTTCTTTAAAGCGTGTATTCTGAATACTTTTCAAACCTTTTCCCTGCAACTGAAGTAGCGCTTCTCACCAAGTCTTGCAAGAGGTGCCCGCTTCGCAATCAATCATTATGGCCACCAAGCAGAAAGCCGTTATTTTATTCGGAGCGATGCTCGGAGAAAAAGAAGGCAAACGTGTTCGGGCAGTAATGGGCTGGACGCTTAAGACTGCCCAACAAATTGTGACAACATTCGAAAATCTGATTCGAGGTCAACATACTTGAGTGACATGACTGCAGCACGTGTTTATTGTCACGCGTCATTTCTCCCCGCGCGTCCTACTACCGGCCATGTCAGATACCGAAAACACCATGGACGACGCTCCGTTGCCGCCGGTACAACACCTGTCAGAAAATCAGCTAGGTCTCTTGAGCTTTCCCCCAGGTCCTCAAAGCCTCAGTCCATGATCTGCGCTTCCTGGCATCTCTCCTGCGCGGGGTCAACTTCATGAACGTGTGTCAGACGCTTATTTCGTAGTTCTCGGTGCGCTGAACGATATGCTAGAATGCGAGTGTCACTATGAATCACTCGGGGCTGATCATCAACGTCGAGGAGGCGCGTACCCTGCTCGGTACGCTGTTTCCTTCCTCGACTCGCCAATCCTGACACCCTCTTCTTCTCTCGAAGCCACCGCCTACATCTTCTCTGATGTCTTCGACGAATATGCATACATGCCCGAGTCCGGATCGGCTACTCTGCAGAGCACGCAGAACGACGACGAACCGGCCGCCTGCGCTTTCGAGATCCCACTCAACACGCTCGTCGAGTGCCTCAACATCTTCGGGACCGCAGGATCGATCTCCTCGTCGACCTCCACCGCCGCTTCGGGGAAGCTCAGACAGTGGAAGCGGCCAGGCGAAGACTCGGACCACGAGGCGGGCGATGACGCGGATGGCCAGAGACGGGGGACAGCGGCTGTGGGCAACAGGACGATCGACCAGTATTTTGCGCCCGGATCGGACCACGGGACGGCCATGCGGATGACCTATGCCGGGTCCGGGTATCCGCTGACGCTCCTTATGTGGGTCGTACCAACGAAGACGACGGGAATCGATCGTTGACATCCGTGCAGAGCAGAAGACGCGTCAGGGCCGACGACCACATGCGAGATAACCACGTACGACGCCGAGCCCCGCCTCGAGTTGGAGTTTGATCCTGAATATATGTCTGCCGGTCCCTTCCGCTTCGTGCTCTCCCTCCCTCACACAGTTGCAGGATCCTCAAGATCATCCTCAAATCCTCGTGGTTACGCGATGCGCTCTCTGAGATCGATGCGACTTGCGATAAGATAACGATCATCGGGAATCCGCCGGACAATGCGAAAAGGCCGGGGCGCGCTCCCGATGCCAGCAAACCTATGCTGCGGATCCAGGCAACGGGGAACTTTGGGAGCACCGAGGTTTGCATTGCGCGAGTTCCTAATCTTTTTTTTGCTCACGCGATGTAGATGGACTACCCAAATGACCGAGAAGTCCTCGAGACATTCGAGTGCGTGAGACCTGTAAAATTCAGGTACGATTTCTCCTGCACATCTTCTGTCGGATCTCTGCCCAACCATCCTGTTTGCAGCTATCGATTCGGCCATATATCACGTGCCCTGCGTGCTCTGCAAATCTCATCGAAGACGTCGTTGCGCATCGACGAGCAGGGTCTGCTCAGCCTGCAGTTCCTGATGCCGTCTCCCCGGCGCGGGGCCTCGCCGGACGAATCGGCCAACGCCTTCATTGAATATCGAGTGCGTGCAGTCTCGGTTGGGCGGCGGCGTGGGTTTGATCCTCGCTCCCCAGTGTTTGGCGCTCGACGACTCGCTTGTTTAGGGCGCTGCTAATTTCTCCTGGCCTGTCGAAACTCGAAGCGATTGGGATCGAGTCGGGTTGCGCTGCATAGCAGCATCGTGATGCAACCGCATCCTTGATTCTTTTGACCGAGACAGATCGAAATCCCCTTGAGCGCAGTTCTGCTCATCTTGAAATGCACGGGAAGCCATTCTGCACAAGGGCCATTCATTATTATCCCCGATGCAATTTGGGGATTCCTGCTTTCCCCGGGGTTCACCGTACTTGTATCCGGTCTCTTGTATCATGTCTCTTGGGGATTCCAGGAATAGACCGCAGCTCATGGACTCTCGACGTGATAGCCAATAGTACTTCATGCTCAACATGCAGGCTTGGACTCCGGAGCGTCAAGCCCCGAGGCGAGCGTCGCATGCCACTGCCGAATGGTTGAATGCCGATCGGCATGTCGTGCTCCACAAGCCAACTTCAGTCCCATCCTCCGTTCACTTCCGCGAAGCAGTGCTTAGATGAAGAATGCTCGTCTCTTCCACCTCCCTCGGGCAGTACTCTGTATAGCGCGGCTGCCGCCGGCTTCGTTGACAGTGTATTCTGGCCTGGCTGCAGTCGCGTGATATGTAGCTGGAATGGGCTGCGGACCGGGCTCCTGCAGGGGAAGATCGATCTGCGGATGTGCAAAATCGCAGCTAGCTGCAATTCTCTAATAATGCTCTTCTGAATCAATCCGCAGGCGCAAGCGAGTGCGGATCACCTTCTGAGTACGTACGGAAGACGAGGCGGCTAGATTTTATGCCACAGGGATTCCGATGATATGTATGTTATGATTTGAGTTGTCTGAGACCCGCAATGTAGAGTCCAATGAAACACCATACAAAGTCATGAGGACGGTGTACTGTGGTTTACTGCCACTTTGTCCGGAAGAACCCGAGGATGATCGAGTGGCCTGATGAGTAGATCGGAGGGTAAGACGGCATATGCGTGGACTTTGAGAATAGAGACTCTGAGAATTCTCTCTGAGCCGACCGAGTAATTTGGGTTTTGAATAACCATCGTATGTAGGCCGCGCATCGATGGGCTAATCTTAAATCCGCGACCTCATCGATTAACCATCTGCGATCGATACAGTGCTTCTCCAGCTTCTGAGTTCCGGTCCTCTTCCATACTACTTACTTAAGTGAGTCGCCAAAGATTGTTTGCGCACAGTATGGAATTGCAAAAGGACGAGCTTGAAGGTTAATCACCAACCGGCCCGGCCGGTTCATTGCATGACGTCACGGCACAGACGAGCGCGGCCGGGCAGCGGTCCACTTTCTCGCCCGACTCAAGGCGAAGGAGACGTCGGCTAGCTAGAGCAGCAGGAGGGTGAAAGAAATCCGATGATCGTATCTCCACTGGTCGCCGCGGCTCTGCAGCAGCTCGACGGGGTACTTACTGGGCGCCCGATTGAAGTTTCTCTCGAGAAGAGGGGCTGCGTCACCCCTGCAGCCAGCATTTCAAATGTTCAACCTGCGAGGCTGTCAAGACATCTGCCCCTTGTTGCGATGCAACAGTATTCAAGCGACGAGTCTGCTCTGTGCGCGCTCTTTTCCCCTTCTCCCCTCATGCAGCCGTGCGATGTCCACCGTGAATCCGCACGACTTCCTCCCGCAGATCTACGTCTGGAACACATTCAACATCTTTGCAGGCGTAGCGAACGCGGTCCTCCTCGGCGCCATCCTCGCCAGCCAGCGCGCCAACGCCAACGCGAACCTGCTGAACCTCATCTTCCTCTTCGTCGTCACCTCGCTCACGGGCAGCTCGCTCGCACTCACGGGCCACGCCCTCGACGAGCATCCGCCGTTCCCGCTGTGCCTCCAGAGCGCGCTCGTCGCAATGTCCAACGTCCCCGTCGAGGCCGGCGCCGCGCTCGCGCTCGTGCTGCGAGTCTGGGGCAGCGTCGTGATCGCGTGTCGCCCGAGCCAGCGCAGGGCCGTCGAGATCGTCACGTGTCTGCCATTTGTGAGTCCCCCCTTCCCCTTCCACTTCCGGCGTCGTCGAGTGCCTCCTGCTGCGCTGTCGCTGACGGTCTCCGTCAGCTGCTCGCGATCCCGCTGATCTCCTCTTTGCCGCTGTTCATCGCCGGACTTGTCGTACGAAGCCCATCCCGATTCGCTGCTCCATTTCGGCTTTAACAGCCGTTTCAGATCGGGCTCGGCGAGCGAGACAGGGTCTTCCGGGGCTCTCCATTCTACTGCGTTGTGGACCACACGACACTGTGCGCGAGCTTCCGCGGATAGAATGCGAAATTCGTCTCTCATCTAGCCCCCAGACAGGATGCTTCGTCGGGCCTCGGCGCCGCCTTCACCTTCATTTGTCTTGTCTTTGCGGCCTGGACCACGTGGCTTCTCGTGACGACGCGCTGGAACGTCCGTCGGATTATAGAATACCCCGGCGTGTCTTACCCCCTGGTCCTGCGCACTCTCACGTTCTCGATCTTCGTTGGTGTCGCTTTCGTGTAGGTCGAGCCCATCCTGCCTGTCCTCTGGATTCTGACCAGCCACAAAGCGTCGGGGTCATCTCGCTCGTGACGTCTTTTTCGGGGGTCGTGCCCGACATATTCTTGTCTACCTGCAACGTTGCCGTGTTCTTCACCTTCGCGACGTCAAGGGTACGCCACATCACATCTCATCCGACTCCGCAATGGCGCTGAAATCGCTCCGCAGCCGATCCTCGAATTCGTGTTCCACTGCAGGCGCGTCGGCAGCAGCGCCACCCCCTCGTCGCGTAGCCACCGCGGCACTGCGGCGCCGACCTCAACAGGCGCCCGCCACGAGCTGCACATGTTCTCGCTGACGGAGATCTACACCGAGTCGGACGCCAACCCCAAGTCGGGCGGGCTCGTCGAGGATCCTCCTTCGCCGTGGAGGCCCTACGCGAAAGAGTCTGGTAGTCCGCACGGCGACGACGGGGATGCGGTGGCGGGTAGGCTGTCGCAGGACGACAATGCTCCGACCGGTCACCCGTACGCTTCGGCCACGCCGCCGGTGTGATTCCCTCGCTTCTGGTGCTGTATTTCTATCGTGTAGTATTAGATCGATGTCCTTGACGCGATGACGTCATCGTTGCTGTCGTTGAACTGCGTGCAAACAGGACACAACAGTGGCTGGCATTGGAATCTTGGCGGATGTCAAGGCTGCTACTCGCTGAGCGGCCCAGGTGAGAGTGGTTATCTCCTCGAAAATTCGGATTCTGTGGTGGGAGGGCTCTTCAGTATCCTTCCGAGTCAAGACCCGACCCCTCCCAGTCGCGTCATCCTGGAACCACATCCGGTGGAGGCTCGTGTCCCGTGCGGACTCTGAAATCAGGGACACCATCGTTACCGAGAGAACGATCGTCGAAGCGGGGCCGCAGATTTGAGCCGGGAGCGACTCTTGAAGGCCTGAACGGCCAGCGCTGCGAGTCTGCATGCCAATAGAACGCGCACCCGTGGCAAGGGTTCCTTGACATCGGTGCCTGACGGTCAAGTGTTGAAGAAAGGCTTGACCGGCTCCCAGGTACAAGATAAATGGCTGCATTGCTGCGGTCGGAAATGTTGCCGTCACAAGAGCATTATTGACCCCAAGTATTCCATCATGTACTAAACTATGCAGAATACGAGGGTCTCAGCCCAACTTCGATTCCGAGGCCTCTGTCCCGACTGAGCCCTACTTCTCATTGGACAACAAAAACAACAAAAATCTGGAGATCCTAATGCAACATTACCATTGTCATGGATGATTCGACTTTGACATGGGAAATCCTAAACCCGACTTGTTATTTGCACCATGTGCAACATTTAGACTGTCTTTATTCGACTTGACTTTGGGCATTCTGACTGACTGATCGTTGAGTTCAGTATCATCATCCCCCTGTACTTTGAATCTCCTTCGGACTCAACTGGACTTGGCTGATGATTTGCCAGCCAGGCCAAGAAGCAGCGGACTCATCAAATCATATTCAAACCAATTTGCACGTGCCTTGGATGATACTAAGCGAGTCCCGATACTGTAATAATAATAGATCATCTCGAATAAACTAGACGCCAGCAAGCACGGAACCGAGCAATTGATGAGTCGAGACGACTCCTATGGATGGTAATCAAGGCATCAATGATGGTGTCTGCTTGCAATCTGTTCAATAATCTTTATGCTTGGACGACAACTGACTAGCAGTCGCTGCTACTGCTAGCACCACTGTTTGAACGGCTCCAAAATGGAACCCAACCCATGCCCATGAGAGGAAAGGATGGGAGCAGCGCATACCGAGTTGAAAGAGAATAGATGATCTAGATTCGGCGGGTAGAGTCGTTTCAGATAGCTTCGAGGGAGGCATCGGCGCTCGGCAGAACTCAGCAAGTCAGAGAGTGGGAGCTGAGGGACTTGGGGACGCGGATGACGACATGTTTTTCGCATGCCGGGCTAAGGCATAGGGAGCGGAGAGAACGGAGTAGTGCTACGGCTCGCGCGCGCCAAGTTGCTGTCTGAACCCTACAGACACTCGTAATCGCAAGCTGAGTCGAGGACTCTAGAGCAGCAATCAGTCATTCGATTCAAGAAGAGTTCACTGTGACTTACTTAGCACAGGCAGAAAATGTTGGCCCTGTGGATCACCTGGATATTGAACCCGGATTGAATGAACTGACACTCAAAGTAGGTTGGATTCGGACGCCAAAAGTCAGGCTACAAAAACGGGTTGGTTCAGGACGGAGATATCGGGCTGATTTTTTATCGAAAAACCCGAGTTGTATCGAGATGCCAATCCAGTTGAGTTGAGTCTAGTAGCGAGTTATTTCAGGACTACTCAATGGAATGGTCGACTTAGGAGTGACAAAGCGCCGCGGCTTCCGCGAAGGCTGGACCGTCAACTAGTCGGAGTACTAAAGACGTGTATTTTCACGTGTTATGTATGTGATTGCGTGTCATCACACCATTTGCCTGCGAGAGTTCGATTCAGACACCCAAGCTTAAGTACTACATACAACGCTATGATATGACGGTGTCAGTTACGATACATTACACTGCCCACAATTAAATCCAAAGTGATCCCATACGGTCGAATACGGCTTCTTATGAGCAGCACGAATGGAATCATTTACGCCGGCTCGCACTGGATGCTTGCCTGCTCCTCGGCCGAGACGGCCATGGCCTGAGCAGCCAAGGTGTCGGTCGACTCCTCTCCATGCGTCTGCGGCTGCAGCTCGCTCCGCTTGACACCCCGGTGCTCGAGCGCATACGCCCTGCACGCCTCCCGGCTGGCAATCAGCTCTGGGTCTTCCCGGTCCAGCGCATGGACGGTCAGCCCGGGGAAGTTGTACTCCAGCAGCGCCTTGAGCTGCGGCAACAGCGTCTTGTCGGGGGAGTACGTCCCCGAGTTGTTGTCGACCACGATCTCCCACGCGACGTCCCCGTCCGCCTGCGCGTCGCTGAAGGCTTTCCAGCCCCCGGCGGGGCGCGGGTGGAACTCGCCCGAGTAGCGCACACACGGGTGGCAGTTCGCGTGCAGCGCGTGCTTCGAGGCGAAGTCGACGAAGAACGCCGCGCCCGTCTCGGAGAAGCGCAGCGACTCGTCCTCGGCGGAGATGATGTACGTGTAGACCGCGGGCTTCACGCGCCCGTCGCTGTGCAGCACGCCCAGGACGTCCGCGGCGGATTCGATCGTCCCGAACTGGTTGGTTGTGGCCCGGGCGTAGAGGAGGCGATGCCCGGCGATGATGCCTGAGCGGACAGCCAGCGATGATGGGCCGGGATTGAATATCGCTTGGGCAGCTTTATAACCGTGGTTCCATTGCTGCACGGTGTCCCCAAAGAACAGCCGGATACCGCGGATGTACATCTTCCAGGTAGAGTACAGCCGCGATTTGGAGTCATCGGAGAGGGTGGTATTCGTCAAGAGCCCGATGGTTGGAGAGAAATGGCGAGAGAAACGGATGGGGCCGTCGAACAGATATGGAAAGAGCTGGGGATCGTCTCCAGCCTTCACGCTTTCTATCTGGCATGCGGCGTCAGCAAAAAGAGGAAAGAGGCATGCAATCCTTGGGGGCGTACCTTGAGCCAGAATGAGCCACCCGCGCGCCGATACACGGGCCCCACGATTTCAACCTCCTTCGCACCAGAACTAATGGTGGTCGAAAATTTCCCGATGAAGTCATCGACCTTCGCCCCATCGTCCTTGTCCATCACCTCGACCGAGAGCGTGGCGTGTGCTGGGACATTCCTAATCCTCCACAGCGCGTTCCATACAGGGGAGAGCGTATTGACTTTGACTGCGGACCTGAGGGTAGTGTCAGTTTCCTGAATCGCCCTACCGACCCGGGCGGGACCACGCACACGAACGAGATCCGGTCGTCGATTTTCGCCACGAAGTACGGATCCGCGGATCCTACGACGTCGACTTTGGGTAACCCAGAAGCGCCGATGAACTACCGACGGGTCTCGTCTCTCGCTCGTCTTTTCCTGCGCGGGATGGCACTGAGCAACGCACCTGGATCGTCAAGTCCACATACCGGGCATCCAGCAGATTCTCCTCGGCGAACGATTTCGTCACTTGTGCGAGGTCGTGCGCGTTGTCGTGTGCGCGGTGGATGACGGTGTGGACGGTGGATCCGATCGATTCCAGTATTCGGCTCATTCCGTGTCGCCTGTGGTCGTGCATATGAGAAAGAGAGGGGTGGGGTTGGAGATCTGCAGTACTCCGCACTAGATAATTAATCGGCCAAGGTTCGGCTGCCCTTGATTGTTCAATGAATGCGGTGCTGGGCTGCGTAGACTCGGCGCTACGACTGACTGCGGTTCTGTAGTTACCTCCGCGCTGCCGGTTCAGACGGTGGAGTGCTGAATGAGTTCTGCGGACGATCAGCGTAGACTACGGTGATGCTGGCCGAGACAAGGCTGACAGATGGCCATCAAAGGATCACTGAACAGGTCGTGGCCAGCCGCGTGCATAGCAGCTGCTCTCCTGAAATTACTCGCCCAGCGGGCAGACAGAAGTCTCTGGCATCTGACAAAGTTGCAGCCACTTCTGAGCTCAACATGAGGCGTCGCGAAGAAACCGACTTCATGGCCCTGCGATGAGACTGTAGGTTGTTTCTTTGCAAAGCTACGTCATAGGTGGGCCAGAAGCATGCCGAACACCGGCATCTACTTCTTCATTATCGTGGGCAAAAAATGGGCGCTCGGGGGCTGCCAAAAATAGCTGCCGAGGCATGTCACATTTCTCTCATGAACTCATCATACCACTGAATGTCAAAATTATTCGCCGCAGCTCTGCTCAAAATTACCACGATTTAACAGAAGGACAAAGATCAAAATAATTGGCCGTATTCTTGCCGTGTTGAGCATAATGAAACACCGCAAATGAGGGTGCAGGTCAAAACCTTCAAATGACTGGAGTTTGTCCGCGCTATGCCTTTTATGGGCTCACACAGCATTCTGACAGGCCGTTCTGGGCTCCGAGACTGCGCAGTGTCTGGTATGTATCGTGCTGACCGAGGTCAACGATCGTCGATAGGCCCAGGGCCGCCAGATCATTTCTCCACACGTGGTTCTTCGGCCAAGCGGACCGATCTCGAACTTGCTTTCAACCACAACACGCAAGGGAAGAAGATGGGTAAAGTTCCACTGGCAGCACGCTGCACAACACGTGAAATCCGACTCCACCGACCGAGGCCAACCTCGCCGCCACGGAACTCACATGAACGCCGGACGACGACCTCCTGTGGCTTACTATTCTGGGAAGGCTTGCTTCTAGGACGATCCCAAAGTCAAGTGCAGCGCATCGGATCTCGATCATGCTGCACGCTAGTTCCACTAGAGCGCTGAAACAACACAGGACCATGGCGGTTTCATCATGTGTCCGGTTCCCCGACATTTTGTCTGCCTTAGCCAAGGAAACTGGCCCCCATCGAGCATACCGAGCTGCATTCTGTGCAGTGGCTTCCTATCTCGTTCTGTCGCATGACATAGACATTTGAAACCGGGGAAGGTGGGCCAATTCCATAAAGACGCGCCGGTGGACAACCAGCTTTTTTTGCAGAGAAACAATGGTGCTCCGACTCGCCCTCCTTCTCTGTGCCCTCAGAGTCGTGTCCGCCGCTCTTGGGCCCATCGACACGTCTGCTCCGTCGATCCCTGGTGGTAAGGTGCAGAACGCTGCACCGCCGGGACCGTTCTTCCAAGATTTCAAACCTCCGTTCCCCACGACGAACTGGTGGATAGGGTATGCTGCCTATCCCAACCAGAACAGGTAGGGTATATGCACTCCCGGAGGACCATGAAACTGAATTTTCTTGCGCAGTGTGGTAGCTGGCCCCTTCCCGTACATGTCAGCCGCACTCGACACCGGCTTCCAATTTGGTCTATCAAACACGCGAACCTTCGATGGGACATCGATCATCCAGACGACGAATCTCGACTGGCTAGTGTCGTACGCCCAGAACCCCAACTCGCACACGAGTCACAAGGCGACAGCCTGGGTACGATTTGAAACCGTTTTCGAAACCGCATCTTTTCATTTTGGGCCTAGGATACTCAAAGTGTGACCATCAAATATTTCTCCGGGTCCGGCGCTGGCTTCACGACATATGTGGTCCCCGGATCTCCGTACTTGACGTTCAACTACAACGCTTCGACGGTTTTGCTCACGAGCACCAATGGTAACATCGCTTCTATCAATGGGATCTCAGTCGGGACTTCTCCCGGTGAGTGCTGCTGCTGCTGCTGCTCTCCCGGCCATCGGTAGCTTATCGACTCACCGTATCAGTCACCGTCTCTGGCACCAAGTTCACCGTTATCAACAATGCCGGCACATACGTGATCTACTCGCTCGGAGGACCCATCTCATTCAGCGTCACCGCGAATGCGCTGACGGGCACGTCCCTGTTCTCGGGCGTCATCCGAATCGCTCGCGTGGTCAGTCCGACCACCAGTGTCGATGTCCTCGATCAATATTCCTCCGCTTATCCGACTGGTGTTGGCCTCGACTACACATTCTCTGGAGACAACGCCACTCTGAGCTTCACCTGGAACGTGGTCGGCAATGCCTCCTCGTTCATCCATCTGTCCTGGCCGCATCACAGGTCCGGGCTGTTTTTCATCTCCCATCGATTGACGTTTCTCACGGTTCGGATTCCAGAAAAGCGCTGATCAGCCCCACGTACATCGCAGGGCTGACGTATCTCTCCACAAAAGGCTACATGAAGCCTGTGCGGGGGAATGTGTGGCGCTTGTCGTACGCCCTCCCGACGATCACGTGGCAAGCACCGCGGGTGCCGCAGAACTCGTGTCTGTCGCAGCTCGAGCAGGCGCTGGAATACGAGGTCGCGCACGCGACCGTTGCTGTGCCGTCAGATTTCTATTTCTGGGGAAAGGCGGTTCAGTCTTTGGCGAGATTGGCGTGCGTGCATCATTGGCCACGTTTTCCGATTGAGCTCGACTGACGGCTTGAAGATTGATCGCTGACCACATTGGACGAACGGATCTCATCCAGCCGGTGATCAGCGTCTTGAAGCAGAGCTATTCTCAATGGGTTTGTCATTTCTTTGTTGCCTGTTGTGGTCAAAATAATGATTTATTTTCCAAGCTCACTCCCGGGACATCGAATGTCTGTTATGCTGCGTACGACACCGTCTGGGGCGGCGTTGTCGACGGGCCAGGCGCGACGAATCCCAACATTGATTACGGGAACGGTTATGTAAGTTTCACTTTCCGAGAAACATCCTCGCGTTATTCAACTGGGGACAGTACAACGACCATCACTTCCACTACGGCTACTTCATTTATGCCGCTTCGGTTATCGGACGCTATGACTCTACGTGGTGGGCGGCCAACCGGGCCCTCGTCACCCATTTCGTGCGCGACATCGGCAATCCCTCGACACAGGATCCGTACTACACTGTCGCGAGATGCAAAGACTGGTTCGCCGGGCATTCTTGGGGTGCGAATCTACCTGCACGTCTCTGGGCTGCTTGTGCTGAGTGATTTACAGCGTCTGGAATCGCCAACGGAGCGGGATCCCGTGACCAGGAATCCTCGGGAGAGGCGGTCAACGGGTACTACAGTCTCATTCTATATGCGGATCTCGTGGGAAAGCAGGATCTCAAGAACTGGGCGCGGCTGTTGTGGGCGACGGAGGTCGCCGCTGTGCAATCCTACTGGCATCTGTATCCAACATCGAACGATCCAGACACGCCATACCCTGAAGCTGGTCTCCGGAGCTTAACGACGATCGGAAATGTGATGGATTACCAAGCCGGAGCCTGGCTGTGAGTCGAGTCCTGATTCCAAAGTGGGCACGTGATTGATGTCTAACAGCTTCTGGGGCGCCCAACGATCCGAGATTGCTGCGATTCAGATGCTGCCGGTCACCCCGATCAACGAGGGACTTTACGATGTGCCATGGTTAACGGGCGCTTGGAGCTACGTCAGCGGGGAGATGGTCGACCCTGCGGTCGGAGACGATTGGAAGTCGATCATCTACATGGCTTACGGTGAAGTCAGTCCTCAGACGGCGTTCGCCCGGTCGACCAACATCACTGCTTGGGGCGGCACGACTTCCCAGGCCGGGCTTTTGTACCACCTCGCCACGCGCAAAAACCCGACCGGTGCCAACATCTGCACCGCTTCTGGCGGCAACCCGACTGGCGTCTTCACCATTAAAGGACCGAACGGCAAATTCGTGACGTCCACTGGTGCTGTCACCCAGCTTATTGCGAACGCAGCCGCGAATGGCACTCGGTTCCAATTCGACTACATGCCCGGGGGAGGCTCGATGCTCAACCTTGGGACCGGAATGTATGTGACTGCTGACCAGAACGGGGCTGCCCCGCTCAGCAGCGCCCGGACGGTCGCTCAGGCCTGGGAGAATTTCAGAATTACGAAACAAGCTAATGGGACCTATACGATGCTGGCGGGCGTGAATTCGGAGTATATCGTCTTGGACTCGACTGGAGCGCTGGTGAACGCTGGGAATAATTCGGCGAATGCCGCCATGTTCTCCCTCGTCCCCAGTTGAAAATCCCAAATATTGTAGCCTTATCTGTACATTTGCTTGTATCATACACCCAGGTATACTCAAATTTTACTTACGTGACACCGAGTAAGCGGACGGTCGAACGGCCGACGCACGTTCCACGGCCCGGTGCAGCGCTGGTAGCCCGGTCCGCGCCCCGGTCCGGTGCGTGGTTGGATGTCATTCGAGTTCTCGAGCGCGCCTTCGTGTCATCCACGCTCTTCCACAGACCACTGGGCGAGGCCGACGCCCTTCTCCCTTTTCCCCTCACCCGAGTGCGCAGAGCGGCGACACCGTCCGGTATCACCCTTGGAAGTTCCATCTGCCCCAGGCTCGGTGCCCGACCTTAGCCGTCTAAATAGGTCTTGCATCATCGCCCGCTCCCCCTGAAGAACAAAACTCCGCCCTCGCGTTTTTCAACTCTCTTTCCCATACACTCTTCCCTCTCCGCAGGCGCAATGAGTCGTTTCTTGCGTCCTCTTTTCACCCTGCGGGCGCTCGGGATAGCGTCGGCAGGGACAGTCCTCGCGTCCGGCGCAGGCGTGTACTGGCTCAACTCCGGGCCAGCCTACCCGCAGTCGACGAAGGAGACGCGGCGGCCTCCGCCGCCGTGGACGCCCCCGCCGCGCGAGCAGATGCTCAAGCAGCTGAAAGCGTCCGGGCTCATCAAGACCACGGGCCTCGCGGACGAGGAGTTCGACCTGCTCGTTGTGGGCGGTGGGGCCACGGGCGCGGGTGTCGCGGTTGATGCGGCGAGCCGTGGGCTCAAAGTTGCTCTGGTCGAGCGGGATGATTTTAGTGCTGGTGCGTGCCTTGAGTTACGGCAGTATTACCCCGCACGTCATCGTTGATCCAGGAACCTCGTCCAAGTCGACGAAGCTGGTGCACGGTGGTGTGCGATATCTGCAGAAGGCCGTCTTCGAGCTCGACTATGAGCAGTACAAACTTGTGAAGGAGGCGCTCTACGAGCGTCGCATATTCTTGCAAACGGCTCCCTACCTTTCTCAAATGCTTCCGATTATGCTTCCTCTTTACAAGTGAGCACATC